TTTCCGTGATTCTAAATCTCTCTAATGTAAGGACGAGGGGTAGGCTCTAGTACCGGGAAAGGTTTGAATGCAATAGAGAGAAGTCGTTACGTCACGTCACGTTGCCATGGTCGCAAAATTTTTGGATGACAACAAATCGAAAATTCGGTTTCAGGTTTTAGTCTGTTTGCAACTTTTAGTGGTTTTTACTCGTTAAGGAGTCCTGTAACTCCCTTTTCTGTGGCTCCATTCTCGGTAACAACGTAACAGAAAAATTATGGAAATGTAATTAATATCCCTTTTATTGCACTGACAGTCTCAAGTGGCTGGTGATGAAGATGTATTTGAACTGCCGCAGCAGAATGAAGATCAGGGGGTTCTGGTAACGTCTAATGCAGAACAAGAGATGGTTTCATCATCATCACAATCATCCCAACAAAGTATCCCAGAAGAAGAAATCAGTATCTGGTCCGACGAAGTAGAGGAACAGCAACAGAGAAGGCAGCTACTGAACAATACCATTAGCACTTTATCTGGAGGAAGAATTTCACCTATTCTGTCAACTTTGAATACGTCTTGGGATGATATATCGACAACACAGCAAAAGTACTATCTGCGAAAGGCCAAAGAAAGCATCTGTACAGCACTTTCGGTCCTTAGCCCTGGACAGGAAGAGGAATTATGGACCACTCTTCGACAGGAAAGATTAGTAAATAAGGATTCTGCTGGTGCCACTAGACGTAGAAGTTTTGATCCGAAACCTGGGCTAATCGACGTTCTGATCAAGTCATATAACCATGCCGAGTCGTGGCAATCAAAATGACAGATACTCTCTCTCTTTGCCAATGATTTTAGCAGGTTCCAGTTGATGAGCATGATACCAACACTTTCAAAATGGCGAATAGATGAAGCTCGACAGCATGCTACCAAAGTTGGTGAAGGTCTGCCTGTTCCGCAAGAGCCAATTTTCCGTTCCCGAATCTCACCCGTTCAAATTGATCATTTTATCGATTACATCGCAAGACCTGAGATGCTGCAGGACGTAGCATTTGGCACAAAAGTGCTTAAGCTCGATACGGGAGGAAGCATTATCATTCCGGCAGTTATAAGGACTATAATACCGTCAAGAATAATTGAGCAATACTCAGTTTACTGCAAAGAGCAGAATTTTGAACCAGCAGGACAGCGTTCACTCTACAGAATAATAGAGGTGTGTGGTGCCTCAATGCAAAAATCTTTGCAGGGACTCGACAACACTACAGCAGAAGGGACGGAGGCCATAGACAATGTCACTGACGTGCTTAAGACGCTTGGAGACTATGGATCGGAGGCTACCTGGGTAAAGGATGCAGAACAAAAAATCAAGGAGGCAAAGAGATACCTTAAGACTGAGTTTAAGTCCCATGTTGGCAGAGAGGAAACTTGTGCTGATCACTGCACTGCACATGCCCTAGCTGACACAAGTGACTCCAACCTGCAAAGCATATGTCAGCACGAACATGAAACTGACTGCGAGCAATGCGAATCATTAGAGACAGTTTTGAAGGAAATTGAATCCGAGATCAACCGTGTTGAGATGCCGGAGGAGCACAGATGGCGGTTAAGCCACGACTACAAACTCTGTTTGGCATCTATCCAGGAGTGGAAGGCGCATTTGCTCCGCACAGTAAATCAAGAAGAAGGAAAGCAATTTGCTCTTGTACATGTTGATTCAGCTTCATGTTTAATCGTTATGGATTGGGCCATGAAATACCTCCCACAACGTTATCGGGAACGAATGAGTGATTTCTTCGGAAAACGAGGACGAAGCTGGCATGTGAGTGCTGTGATCACTAAGCATACTGAAAAATTCCAAGTGGAATGTTTTGTCCATCTGTTCGATAACTGCACGCAGAACAGCTTTGCTGTAGCCTCTATAATAGAGCATCTTTTAAATACCATCAAGAAAGAATCACCGGAGATTGAAAATGTTTTCCTGAGATCCGATAACGCAGGTTGCTACCATAGTGGACCTCTTTTGCTCAGTCTTCATTGGTCAACGAACCAGCATGACAATTCTGCGTTACGACTTTTCAGAGCCACAGTCCGGAAAAGACATCTGTGACCGAAAGACCGCTCCTATGAAGGCACACCTACGACGATGGGTCAATGAAAAACACAATGTCATCACTGCGGAAGACATGAAGACAGCACTAGAGTCGCATGGAGGAGTAAAAGGAGTCAGGGCGGCAGTTGTCAAAGTGGACACTAATAAAGAAATCACCGCCAACAAGATACCAGGTATCAGCCTTCTTAACAACTTTTCGTTTGAGGAAAACGGAATACGCGCTTGGCGTGCATTCAACGTTGGACCCGGCAGATTCTTATCATACAGTCAGCTTGAAGTTGTACCACAGGAAGAAACTGCATTGAAAGTCCTAAAGGAGTGGGGTCCACGTAGCAACAATCTTGGCTCAGTTAGCCATGCTTCCAGTCCACGAGGAGAAATATTCTCATGCAGTGAAAGTACATGCATGCTAACGTTCAAGACTCGAGAAGAAGCGGAAGCTCACATGGACGCAGGGAAGCATGTACGTGCGTCAGATCTAGATTGTGAGTCTGTGTACGATGTGGCACGAAAGAAGTGGGCTGACCGAGTCGGAGAGATGCACGTGGCTAGCGGAGATAGACAGCGAATTGCATTTGAAGAAGCCGGGCCTTCCAGTGCTAGAGAACGCCGTAATAAAGGGTGGGCGCTTAAATCAACTAAGCGGACCAACAGGATGGAAGAGAAAGTAAAAGCCTTTCTTGTTCAGAAATTTAACCAAGGAGTAGCGGGAGGGCAAAAGGCTGATCCAATTCAAGTGGCTAGAGAGATGAAGAGTATTAGAGATAGCAGTGGAACGTTACAATTTAAACCAGACGAATGGAGAACCGCTCAACAAATTAGTAACTTTTTCGCAAGGATGTCAGCGTTGCAGCGCCAAAGACAAGCTGATGAAATAGAGAGCCAGGAGGAGGAACAAGAAGTAACAGACGAAGACCTCATAGCCCTTGAATCAGAAGACTACATTCAAGCCATACGCCAGGAGGTTTACAGAGACATTGAACAAAATATCAGTCACCCTATTAAAGTAGAAGCAGTAAACGTTTGTGAACTTTCGCGTGCTGGAAAGCTCAGTTCGCTGAAGTTAGCACAGTTGAGAGAAGTATGCAGAGCATTAAGTCTGCGAACAAATGGTAGCAACTCAAGAAAACGTACTTTTACTGAACCACTTGATGCCTACGCTAAGTTGTGCTCATGTCGGAAATAACTGAATTTTGCACTACGTATTCTTCTCTCGCATTTTATAAAATACATTGTTGGGCTTTGTCAGTAGTGATCGATGTAACAAATATCCTGCGAGCAGAGGCTACATTTTCGCTGTGGGAGCTGTCGTGCGAAAAGTAGCCTCTGCCGACAACCGTTCAATTTTCTATCGTGCATGCGTGAAATTCGTCACGCCATTCGCAAGCAAAATTAATTGTCACGTCTGTCGTCAAATGGCGCGAGTTTCGTGGGAATAAAAATAATTGCGACAACTCTGATCTGCCAAGCAAGACTCACGCAATGCTCGAAACCGGTCAAGAAAAGGAAAAAACCCGTTTTTTAAAATTTATTCGTCCAGATTTCTGGACGGATTTGAACGGTTGTCGGTAGAGGCTACTTTTCGCACGACAGGTCACACAGACAAAATGTAGCATCTCCTCACAGGGTATGTAACAAACTTTGCATACAAAGCGAAAACTTTGAGAATTTCTGTTGGATGATGTGATACAAAAGTCGTGATGATTTTATCACTAGATAGGACGGCACATACATCGTCCTGTTGGCTAACTCGCATAGGCCAGACAATAATCATCGAAGCACCAAGTAATTGAGACCTTTGCGTGCATGATGGCAGTCTTGTATAACCCTTACGTTAAAGCAATAGTATTTTATAGTTATTTTCCCTTTATTCAAACCTAAGTGGAATATAAAATACTCATTTAAAATGGATTAGTACCTTTATAATGCAGTATTGCCGCTATTTAAACTTCAGCTAGCAGTTAGCCGTAAGAGCGATCTTTGACATTTTCCAACAAAATTCGCGTGAAAAGAGTTTCTTGTGCCGATCAATAAACTTTTGTTTTTGATTTAGGAGGGTATAGACTGTTTAAATCTGTAATTAAATAAAAAATAAACCGCCGCACTTTCAAGAAAATGGGCTTAGAAAATCGCCGAAATTCGCTGTCCTGTTACAGTCACGCAACATACCCGGATTAAAACCCTTGGGCAAAATTACCGTTACACTAAAAACTTGATTTTATGCATACAAAACGTTTATTTTAAGGTACTTTAGCTTCAGAAAAAAATCTGTGCACTAATTCCTTAAGGAAAAATTGTTTTAGACCCGAGAAATTGCCATTGTTTTTGGTGTTTTTTAGGGCTTCCCTTGGCCAAAAACAAGGGGGGTGGTCAATCTCGAGAGTGAAAAGCCGGGAAATCTTGTTAATGTCACCAAAGTTAATCTTATCAGCTTGGTTCTTAATGCTGAAAAAATAAAGGAAATCGGCTGACCCCAATCTTTTGGCACCGCCCGGTTTTCTCTGACAATGGCTCTTAATTATTGAGGAAAGCGGGGACGAAGGGATTGACTCCCCGCTCGTGCTCTACGCTCTCGTTCCCATCATCCCTCTCTCGCGCTTCTCGCGTGCTCGCGAGTTCCCCAAACCCCATAAACGCCTGTGGAGTGGTGGAAATGTGGGAATCGTTGGTTACAATTTTTGAACAGTGGAGGGCGTGGTCGATCACGTGACCAAATAATTTAGATTTCTTTTTTCAAATTTTTTAACTTTGATTTACTTCACATTTATCGTTCCTCGTGGATATCTTAAACCATAGTTTATTAAAACATAAATGACTTAGACCCAGTTACAACATGGATATTATCCATGGTTGCAAGTTTTGCAACAACGATTCTCACTCGTGAGCTTGGGTGACCTGTGGGTCTTCGAGGATGCTTAGACTGCGAAGACGTATTTTGTCGTGGTGACAGCTGTCTGTTGTGGCACACATATGGAGAACTGGATCGTTTACGACGGCGACGTTACCATTGATGACTTTGTTGACAAAAACAAGCCTACTAAAATTAATTTCATTAACATGGGAGTCTTTGCAGGCGATCCAAAAGAGCGTCCAAGAGAGTTCCAATACCCACACGCCATAGCCGAACCTCAAAAGACAACGCTTCTGCAAGAGTGGGAACAAAGGATAAAAAAGCCTTGGCGAATTACCCGTTATTACGTTCAGAAACTTGCAAAGAAATATGCTTACATGTCTGGAAAGTGGATAATTTATTGTCCAAGGTAAGAAGGACAACAGTTAATATTTAAGTTTACTTTGAGAAATATAGAATCAGGGGCAGCTGCGCTCAATGACTGCTTCGTTCTGTAAAATATCGGTTCGTAGAAGCAGATATTGCCTAGAATTTGTATTACTTGAGGATGGCTAAAAAGTTCTAAATGACCCGTTCCATTCATGTAAAACTTTCGAATTTTATCTAATAAATGCAATACAATTTTCTTAAGATAATTTTTTTCATATTTCACTCCCCATGCATGTTAGACATGGTTAGACTATTTTTCGTAAAAAAGGCAACCTAAAGTTTTCGGATTCGAAAATGTGATGAAGAGAGGAATTAGAAAAATTCTCTCTTTCGTAATACGTTTCATTGTATTTAAAATTTTCGGGACAATAAAACTGAGGCCCTTGTAATTTCAAGAATTTGATACATTATTATATTCAGCTTCACAAAATCTTTCTTAGCCGTCATCTTTATCATATGTGATTTCTATTTCATAAGCACTCTGTTTTGGTCTGGTTTAATTTATTTAGTTTGATTTAAGTTTATTAAAAGCGCGGAATCAGACTGATTTATCAGCGAATAGCACCTGCCACGGTGGGGAGATCGGTGGTAAAATAATACATACGGTAAGTCAAAAATTGAAAAATACGTCGAATGCCATGAGAAATATAAGTTCATGAACGAAATGATATGAAGGAAATGTTGTGACATAAAAATCAATGGGAAATGAGTCCACAAAAAAAGAAAAATTGAGTCAATCCACAGGCAGCCCAGTTAATACCTGTAAGAGCTGCACATCCTTTTTGGAATTACAGATAATTCACCTCAAAGGTGTCAAATGCGCTTTACATTCGACAGGATCAACAAAAGAGGTTTGGAGCTGGAGAGTAGATTATATTCACCTGAAAAGGAGTCAACAAATATGCAATAGTTCCAAATGGATATTCCTTTACCATTACATGTCATTGTTCATAGATGGTTTTCCTGGTTAATTTTCAACTGGAATTTCCTCTGTTTTCTACCAAATTTGATACGCTCATCTTATGGGCTGGTACAGCCAAAGCTTGTATAAATGGATCAGATTCAGTGGAGCCAAAAAATCGAAATATTGCAAAACAATTAGCTCCTTACCTTTTACTAAATGTTTCCTTGCTGTTCCAGGTTGGTTAAAAAAGGCGTTTTGTCGAGTTTTGCACTCAGAGGATTATTTAGTGTACACTACCTACAAGTGCAAAACTCAACAAAATGACCAAGAATTTGCATTTTTCACATTTCAGGGTTCTTGTCATATTTTCTACTCCGAGGTATGCTCAGAGAATTATTTGCAAGGGTTTTTCTCTCCTGTTTATGTGAGGTCTACGACAGCATTTTGATCTTGATGTGCAGGTCCTGCTCACAAAATCGAAAGTGCTCTTTACTTGTTAAGGAGCCAAAACGGATGACAATGGCGCTGAACTAAGCACCCTCTTTAAGTCTTCTATGAGTCTAGCAAGGGAGAAAAAAATATCTGTTGTAAAGGGTGGAAACTTTGTCTTAATGGAACAAAGCCATCAACTGACAAGACAACTGGTCAGCATTCTCTTGTTTTCAAGTCATGTTTTTTTTCTTTCATCTCAACCCTTTTTTTCGTTGATTCAAATCTGCTTAGAATTATTTTGTTCATGAACAATATATATTTCAAATCTTAACTTTTATTTTTCATTGCATTATTTTGATGTATTTTTGGTTAATGTAACTGCAGAATACCTGGCCACTTAATATACATCTGTAAAAGTGGTTCCTACGTTCATAAAAAATATTAACATAACAAATGCAAAGACAAGTCAAAAAGTGTATGTATCATTCTTTGTTTAGCCTGCGTTGCAGCCGGCCCACGCACTCGTCAAAACCATTTGTATAGTCTGTCTGTGAATTAGTGCACAAAAGCTCGTTCTAATATCCTGCAGAGTCACAAGGACATATAAGTGAGCGTTTCTGATAGGCGGGTTTCTCACGGGTTTCTTATGCACCTCACGATTGGCCTAATGGGCCGGATGGGCGCAGTGACATGTCAAAATTGACAGAAGGGAGTTGGCAAGGATCGCTTACAGTAAACAATGTAACAGCAGTTCGAACTTTTAAGTCTTTTTCTGAAAAAAAAAAGGCTTTGAGAGAATTCCTTCAAAGACAGAATTTGCTTGTAAATTTGTCGACTGGTTTTCCAGTGTCTTCCAATCGCTACAGATGCACTGCCACGTATTCTGCAATCTAGCCTACAGTTCTAGCGTCAAAACAAATCAGGAAATCATGATGTTCACGGCCAAAAAAAAACTACACACATGTAGCTATTCAGGTCCAGGCTTTTCGGAGAAAACCAAAGAAACTGAGGTTATTTAGCCGCAATAAAAAAGCTTGAGGCTTAAACAAAGGTAAAAGAAAATCAGTTAATGGTAAAACTGCTGCTGTGATTAAATCCTGTAAAAAAGCATTTGCCGAAACATAAACAACAGGAACTAATTATTCAATATGCATGGAACAGACCAGCTTCATAACCTCTAAATGTGAGACTCAAAGAGGCAAAAAAAATTTGCTCAGTCAAACATACTCCGTGCACTGCATAAACTACGCAAAAAGAGAGCAAGAAAAACCTCTGTTGTTCAAGCTGACTCTTAGGTCACGTCTCACACTATCACGAGCTCAATCTCTCTTGTCACGAGCTTTTAGTTGTGTTTGGCTTTTCAACACTTAATTCAAATCGGACTAATCACAAACTGCGTAACAAACTAGCCAACCAAAAACGCCGACATATGTCCTTGCGACTCTGCGGGATTCGAACACGATATTGTGCACTAATTCGCAGACGCTCTATACAGAAGGTTTAGAGCGTCTGCGACGCAGGCAATCTTTGTTAGGCCTTCAAAATTACTGTCATATGTTATGTTTTCAACATGTTTTTATATAACCACTGCTTTATTTTTGTCAGCAATGTAACGCCAGGGATGGGGAGTGGTAAGACGCGTCCACATTTTCAGGCTGTACCATAAAATGAGAACATGTGTTAGCATATTCACAAGAAATGAAGGGGTACCAAAAGACAAAAGTGTGGGAAAACCAGAGAACCCAGCTGGAAGTATAGCTTAAGTTACATGCAATTAATTACCAAAATGTTTTGGCAAATTTTGTTCTTTTCAAGATCTAAGATTGATGAAACCTGGACAGCTATTGCCAAAGCTGTGGTCGGTGGAACATCAGGCACTGCCGCTAATATGTTTGAAAGTGACAGTGGTGAGCAAGAGAGTTACTATGTCATCTGTGTGTACACTGAAGACTTCACTAATGAGGAGGAAGTGTGGGCTGCTGAACAAAGTCTCAGGAAGCTTGGAATAACTGAAATTTTGTACTACAAACCAAATATCTACACAACAGTGGGAATTTATAGGGGAAATGAGTGGGGAATCAGGCCCACGATCTATCAGTCAAGAGCATGCAAGTGAATGAATTACTCCTATAGGGCACTTATTTCTATTAGTCAGAATGGGATAGCTAGACTATCAAGAAGAGAATTCCATCAATAATTAAGACTTTCACTCAGATCAGTGTATTCCTGAATTGTTTAGTGCATTGCAGCGGTGACTTGTTTTGTGAAAACTGACCTGGTGCTCCAGCCAGTCCTGACTTTTCATTAGAGCCCTCAGGGTTTTAATATCTGTGACTCCTGAAATAAAGTGTTTAGTTTATCACTAGGGTCATATTTGTCAGCACAAACATTATTTTCACTTATAAAAAAAATAGAACAAATATCTACCTTGGCATGGAGTAAGAGCAAAATAATAACTTTTAGTATATACTAAAACAGTGGATAGTGTTTTTCGCATGCTCTTATTGGCTCCTCAATCAGTGAATATCCTCCCGCTGAAAACTTTTTTCGTTTACAAATGCAAATTAAGCTCAAGTCTTGCGTTACTTTATTTAGTTGACTTGTTCATAAATAAGCTTAAAACTAAATTTAATAATCTTTTTTACAGAACGATTTTGAATACACAGGATTCACAATTCCTTTTGAAGAAATTTCCCCGCAAGAGCTAAACAAATGCCTTAAAAAGTTTTATTTGTCTGCAAGAAAAAGCGACGACCACGGCTGTTCGGTCATTGTGTGCCAAAATTGTAATCGTTGGCAACAGTAAATGAGTTTTTAAAAAAATCATTTTTGTGCCCAATTATCTCACTGTTTTAGGATATACTAAAACAATATCACCTCAGTGTCGGTGGCTAGTGGTGGATATTTAACTCACTGCTTCGCAGCCTCGGTAAGTATAATTCACCATTTGAGCCACCTCCACTTCAGTGAATAGTTGTTATTTAATCTTAAAATACATGGTGGTTGATCTTATTTTGCAGTTGCTGCTCCCACTATTATATTTTGAAACATTTACTTTTAAGTATAAACTTGCGGCTTTGCTGACTTTGTATTTTTCATCACGATCAATTTCCTTTACTTTTATTGTAAGAATGATTCTGAAAAGTAAATTAATTGTAACTATTAATGCAGAATTGCACAATGGACATGACTGTTTTACAAAACCCTGCTGCACTAAGGCTGGGTCACAAATTGCTTTGGCCATACTACAAGATAGCATCAGTAGTCAGGAGCTGTCATTGGCCCTGCTGTACCTGGTAGAATTTCAGCTGGGGTGATATAAGCGAGTCCAGAAAAACTTTATTGGAGAGCTGAGTTTCTTCATTTGAAGCCTCTGAGGAGCATGTGGGATTTTAAAAACATTTCAGATCAATCTATTACATATTATTGGTGTGACAGGTACTGGAATATTGTTGGCAGATTGAGGAGGAAGGGGAAGGGAGCGGCTTTGAGCCCCCCTGACCTATAACAGAACTATCAGACCCAATCATTTATTGCAGAACTAACTTCAGCTTAACATGGAAACTTCTTTGGACGTACCCTTCCAACCACAGAATAACGCTCTGGGTCATTTGATTGCAGAATTGTTCAACTTGAAAAATTGTCGCCATAAAACTCAAAAGATGAATGCAAAGCAGTGTCCTTTACAAATAGATTATGTTACATGTACTGCATTATGATCATTACAACAAGCATCTACTTAGCTTATCCTGCTTTTGAAGGATATGTAATGGCAAGAAAGGATTGTTAAAGTTTGGTGGTTAAAATGGTGGTTAAATTGCATCAACAGCTAGCATTCACCAGGTGAACCAGCCCCCCCCCCCTGGAAAAAATTTCTGGATCTAACCCTGCATTGTTCATAAAATGGTCATTGCCTCTGATATAAAATAAAAAATAATTCGGTCTTAAATGGAATTTAAAGGGGCTGTGTCATGGCAGTCCAGTTCAATTTGTTTAATTTTGCCAATTACTTGCCCTCAATCGCTATGGAACTTACAGTAAGCAAAGAAATTACATGTAAATAACAAATTCAGAGATCCAAAACAAACAAATAATTGTCTCCTAAGCATTATTTTTGAAGTTGAAAGCAGTAGCGATCAACTTTGAAAAACTGTTAGGCTGAACAGTTTTCAAAAATCCTAATATTTCAATCCGTTTCAGTCTTCTTCAGTTTTGCCCATTTATGACATCTGTTGTTTCTGTTGTGTTATTTTAACCTTCCTTTATAAAGTTTTAAGCAGTTATTTTAATGTTTCTCTTAATTTAACAGGCATTTTGTAATTTCCTAATTTGGCTGAATTTTGTGACACAGCTCCTTTAAGGAGCTTCTTTTAGTTCTGGCGTGGGAGGAAGAAGAAAATCTTTCATTGTAGATGGCAAAAGTGAAAGGGGTCTCCAAAATAACTTTTTGTCCCATCCAATTTCATACTGTAGCTTAGGTGAAATGGATGTCAAAGCATGCAGCATAGCATCAACCACTTTGTAAATATTGACAATAGGAACTTAAACTGGGTACCTCAAGAGGTCTTGACTGGAGGAGATGAGTAAAATATACACAGTTTTAGTACAGGGTAACGACTTACTAGGTAAAAGTGGAATGGTTACGAAACCCGTCAGACTCTTTTGTTATGTTCTTGTTAGCTTTTTTGGACCTGACTGTGCACAACGTTCCATGGCATTCCTATAATTATTTTGAACTTACTGACCAATAGAAACATTGCATTAATTTATTCAGTCACAATTTGTGAACAAAAAACAAAGGATTGTGTGGTCAGGGAGCTTCCAACATAAACTGTAGCACCGTTGTTTTAAATTTTGATGTTTGACGGTTTTCCTAACGAGTTGCCTCTACTAACTATGGCGAAAACTACCAAATAACCTTAACATTAAGCCCAAAAACCCTCACTTTCAAAACGATACTAACTGCAAAACTTTTCTTGTGATAATGAGTTTCATTTTTCTGACAGTGACAAATCATTTTCAGTGGCTTTGCACTTAGCCTCACTTTGAGACAGAGGCTTGGGGCAACTCGGAAATGGCCTATTTATTTAGTGGGATGAGGAAGTGAGTAGAAGTGTTCTATCTTTTACATTTGAGACTTGTTAAACTGAGATATAATCTTTAAAAAACCTCTAAAATGCAGTTGTCTTCAACTTATCTTAGCTCAAAAATGATACGAAGTACATACTTGCAATAATATTGCTTAGTTGTAGACAGGTAAAATAGTGTGAAAGAAGTACCTGGCATCAACTATATATTCGTAATTTATAAATACTTATAATAGAATAAGGTTATGGAAATCTAGCAGGAACTTCTGCTATATTAGAGAGTTTTAGAGTTATGTTTAGAGCAAACGTCTGATTCTAAGTGAGAAATTTTCAAAAATAAAAACAGCAGGCCCGGGTTGTTCAAACTTCGGATGGTGCGACCTAACAAATAAATCAATACCCAGCGGATACATTTTAGCAAAACCAATGAGTTATCTGCTGGATAGAGATTTATCCAGTAGAAAGCCCTATCCATCTTTTGAACAACTGGGCACTGATGTCACAGCTCAGAACAATTATTCTTATGGATAAAACTGCCATGAATCCACCGATTTCCATGTTGTTATATAGAACAGTAAACAACAAGTAAGGAGAAAACTTGGTCACATGGAACAATAATTTACATTTGTTGTCTGTCGTAAACAAGAGTCTAAATCTCTATTTTGTCTGAAGAGTGTGTAAGAATAATATTATTGTCATCAATAGTGTGGGTTATCACTGTTTTCCAGGATTTCAAACACCTTGTAGCGACAACTGGCCATGTGTAGGACGTTTGAAATTTTCTTAGAAGTCAACATGAAATAAATTATATATGGACTAAGGAGATGAAATAAAGAAAAGACCCTCATAGTTTATATGCAGGCAATTAAATTAAATTAAACTGAAAAGAAGTCAAGCTTCAAGCAATGATATTTTTCAGGCTTTTAATTAATTGTTGTATGAATTGCATGCATAACTACCTTAACCATTTCTTCAATTTATAGTTAATGGGAGATTTTTATTAGGATTTGTCTTGGCTGTAGCCATTTATAAACTTGAAACACTTTGAAAAATAAGGAAAGAACTAGTTTCCGCCCATTTACATAACATGTTGTTCCATAAAAATCTGTACCGGCTCCATCACAGAAGAATATTCATTAGTTAGGACCTTCCTGCCTTAATGAAAACTGCCACTTTAAAAAGAAGGAAACTGGAGCAGAAATGTTTCCCGCAGTTGTTTCTGGGATTGCTACTGGGGATGCGCCGGTCAGCTATTGGCCAATTTTTTCCCTGTTTCTGGTAACAGCCCCAGAAGTCTTTGCTGGAGTTACCTTAGCCCAATGTCCGTCGAGTTTGTAAAGTGGCGAATTGTATTGATTTATGCAATATCTGCGGTAGAGAATTTGCCTCCCGCCCTCTGTTCCTCCCACTTGGAATTTCCAAAGATCTAAAGAGGAGTCGATTGAGACATGTTCTTGAGCCGAACGATTTATCCACTTACAAGCAATAAAGTATAATCGGAGAAGCTCTTTCTTTAACTACTTTCAGTTAATCGCTTGTTAAAATACGGTTATCCTTTTCAGTCATTTTATGTTCGCCCATTGTGGTTTCCCAGGTACATGTAAAATGAAAGTGAGTTTGATAGTAAAATACCTATCCCTGATTTTGAACGAATATGAGAAAAATGGAATGACAAATAAATAACATTCAGTTCTGGCAATGATAGCAGACAGTAATATTTAATCATTGTGAACTGAATCATTTTTGGTATTTTTAATACGGATTTTCCCCTCTTGTTGATAATTATGAAAGCAACGTAAACCAAAGTTACACAATCCATGTAAGTTGTTAAAATCGAACTCGCCAACTTCTAATGATGACAAATTTTAAATTAAAAAGCACTTGATTACGAGAAACGGTAAACTGCCACTTATAAGGTCACCCACTTAAAAGCCCCCCAGTTATTAGCCTATCTTCCGGTAAACAAAATATAGATTTGATGATGAGCCCCCTGGATATAAGACCCCCCCACACACCCCACACACACACACACTTAAAAGCCCCCCAGTTATCAGCCCAACTTCCTGTAAACAAAAAAAATACATTAGATCATGAGTCCCCGGATATAAGTGTCCCCCACTTAAAAGCGCCCCAGTTATTAGCCCCACTTCCTGTAAACGAAAAATACATTCGCTAATGAGCCCCCACCCCCAAATGTATGAATTTGATTTATGACGACGTCTTGAAGCATAATAAAACACTAGTAAATGGAAAACGTATTTTGGTTAACACTGCTACGGCTTGTTTTGAAGCAATTATTCTATTCCATTTATAAGCCTTCCTTAACCCCTTACGAAGATGTATGTGCCCAGGCTTTATAAGCGGCAGTTTATGGTACTCATAATACTTCTACATACAGCTTTAGTGGTGATACAATTTTAGCAATGTTTCCAGCAGTCTCAACATCTTGAGCTTATCAATCATTCTTTTTATCCGATACCACTTCGGCCTCGGTTGTCACGGCACCATTCTCGTTGACTTTACTTTCCTTGGATTCTTGATCTGCTGCTACAGCTGTGCTGTCAACCATTTCACCGGTTGTACCAAACTCATTAACGCGTTTGGGATCAATTGGGTAAATCCACCGCTGATACAAGGCGATAAAGAAAACAATGTCTGCAACAAATAAAAAACACTGAGCTTAGCCTTGTGAGCCGTTAATTTGAGGGCCCTTTTTAATATGGAGAAAACCTGTCCAGAGTAGAAGGGTCACCCTCCAAGCGGAGTCAACATTAGCGAACATTTATATGAGAAAAAAACAAGTTGACTCCTTTGCCCGGGCTAATAGCGCTCGCGCATGCTCTGATTAGGGAGCTTAAGCAACGACGACGGCGACAGCTACGAAAACGTCACTTAAAAAGTGAATTCGCGATGCCTTAAACTTTATCGCGCTTGTTCCATCTCGTTCAATTCGTCAAATGTTGGCAATTTTTTTTGGAGTTGAATTCTAAAGGACTGCATCAAAGTTCAGGAAAAAAAAAAGTTTTTGTCGCGTGTTCTCGTCCTCGACTAGCCTGTGAACAGGCTCTCTGTTTAGGGAAAAAAATAGTTCCCCGCTCGACCAAAGGCCTGTTCTCAGGCTAGTCCTCGACAAAACGTGAAATTAGGCACTTTCACGTTGTAGTCATGCAACGACGGCTGAGAAATGGACAAACAAGCATGGTGCATGTGCAAACCTGGTGCATGTGTAAACCTGGACGCACAAGAATGATCATAGACGACTGAGGAGAGTCAGAAAGATGTGTTCGTATTAAGCCACAGATTTAAAGGGAACCTCCACTCTTACTACAGAATAAGTTTAAATCGAATAAAATTATGTTGATAAACAAATTTGTTCGAAATTTGTTCTTAAAAAAAGTGTTTATATCGAGAAAAGTGAATTTTAAAATCGCTTATTTTCACTTTCAAATTTCGCGGGCGCCGCCATCTTGAATAATTGTGACGTGTAATGGTTGTTCTATTGTTCTGACACAAAGAGCTTTTGTTTAATAACAATAGGGCAACCGTAACACTTCACAGTTATTCAAGATGGCGACGCCCGCAAAATTTGAAAACAAAAATAGGCGAATCTAATAGTTATTTCTTTCGGATACAAACGCTTTCTTTAAAAATATTTTAGATTGACTTGACTGTAACAGTTATTTCCTGTGATTTAAAGTTATCTTTTTGTTGAAGTGGACGTTCCCTTTAATGAGGAGAGTGCGAACACGCACGAGAGCGTCGAGCGGCACGCGAGAAACGAGGGCAGACTAACAAAAAACAGAGACTGCTCGAAGTCTACAGAGGCTTGACTGAATTACAAAACATAACAGCTTCTGGGTTTCTCACTTTGATAAATGTCCCAAAAAAGGTGATTATTTGTACGTTTTTAGTGACATAATTGTCCTTACCATCTCTAAAACATCCAAGTCTGTAAAGAGTCGGCATCTTGATGACAAAAGCAAAAAGATCGTCGATGAAAGTGTTGAGTGCCTTGTACGTCATCATGCGCCATGGAAGATGAGCCACAGATTTCATTTTATAGTTGATGAATAACTGTGGAGTCATCATAATAAATCCTACAAAATAAAAAAGGAAAATTCAGAGAATTGTTCCTAAAAATATGTTATCTCATGTACTGAAGCGTTTGTCATTGGAGACCCATGCCAAAAAAAAGGAAATTAAGGATTTTGCTAAAATTTTAAAGCTCGTTGACACAACATTATGAACCAGAATGTTTTTTTTACTACATCTTGAGGTTGTCATCCAAATTTTGGTCACCCAAAAGAGTAAACCACAAACAACAACTGTCAAGACGGCTGTTCAATGACTTTGATTGATTTACAAACTGTGACTTTTCATTTATCTTCACTATAGTTGAAAACAACAAAACCTGATAACTAAGCATTGATAGTACACACAAATACTATAAAATTATGCTGAAAGAGTCTACTAATGACGGCCTATTTCAGACAAAAATCTCACTTTAATATGGCATTTCTCGTCTCAAAGATTCAAAACCCTTCACCTTACCAAATGTTAGCAGAAAGCCGTACAGCATGCTAAGCACCCAAGAATACCATCCTTTGTGCTCAACATATAAGAGTGAATATACAGCATAGCAGAGTAACAATGGAAACAATAACCACGACAAATACTTGAATGCCATCTGCAAAAAAGGGAAATATATATAGTTTTAGTATAATTCTTCAGATTTTGTGGGTAGCACAGTCCAAGGATGCACATTCACAAGTGAAAAATACTACTGATGAGGGTTAATTAACAATTATTCCTCGAGCCCGAATGGGCTCTGAGTCAACAGTCCATGAGGCGGAGGGCCAAATGGGTTATTGACTCATGTTTTAGTAAAATCCAACTAGTTGGTCAAAAATATCGAGAATGAAAAAATTTTAGCTAGTTAAAGCTAGACTTTAATCCTTTTTTGCTGCCAAAAAGCACGCGCTTCTCGCTACTAGTAGGCTATAACATATAGCCTAGTAGTAGCTCAACCAATCAGAATGCAGCATTGATAATAGACCACTAGTTGGATTTTACTAAATAATATTATTCTAGGTTTCCGTTAAATTTCTAAGCAACTTTACTCCACTTTTGATATGGAGTTGAAGGTCAAAGTGAAACTTAAAAGTTCCAGAAAGAGAGAAAATGAAGGAAGCATTTTTGAGCTTACCATATCATACTGCTTTGTTTCAGATTCAACATAAGTTTCTTTATCAGCAAAAGAGATTCTTGGTATAATACCAAACCAAAGGTTTTCCCTATCCAGCTGTGGAACAAAAGAGAGCGTAGTGTTATTCAGAAAACAACAAAAGTATCATGTCAGCGTTTATTGCAACTTTCAGATGTATTATTAACCTTATCAGTTTCAGTATATAATCAAGAAGAAAGGTTGTGAGAATTAATCAATAATCACCTGAGGAAATATGCTTTGATCTTTTAACAAATTCTCTCCACCGATTTTTCAAGAAATGTATGGAGGCCAGTGTGGAGAATTTGTATGTTGATCTTGGGGCTTAAATGGTTACAAAACTATCAGAAGATAGGAAGCACTAAACCCTTTCAATCCCACAGTGAACGATAGAGTCTTGAACAGTGATTTTAACTTTTGAATCTGGGAACAAAATCCTGCAGTGTGACCATTCAAATGAAACCTCTTTGCCAGTACTTGCCACTTTTGGGAGTGAAAGGAGCAGTCTCAGATTTTTTAGTATCCTTCACAGAAGTATACAGAATAAAAAATGGAAAAGTAAGTATGTACCTTAATGTCGACAGCTTTGTTTATCTTCCAAATTTCAATCAAGAGTCCAACAAAACAGCTTATAATGATGACAGTGTTAGTTTCATTGTCCATCACATACAAGAGAACAATGACTGACTGGAACACATTGAAGAATACAGAACGAACAGACAGGCCTTCCAGAGTCTTACGACTTCGCCAGAACTGGATATCTGCAAGTTATACAACTCAGTCATTATCATCATCACCCAACTTCATCATCGTGTTAAAACTATTAGCTCTAGAAGGAGCCTACTAACTGGGGACAAGTTAAACAAGGTAAGGAGAGTTAGGCACACTGTGATGCAGTGCTCGACTCTCACAAAAAAAAATCTTGGGGCAAGCTGGCCCCAAGGTTTCATTTTTTGTCACCAGAACAAGTATTCTGGTTGCCAAACATTACATTTAAGAATTAATGGAATACAATAAACTTAACATCTTTTACCTAGCCTTAACAGAAAAAGAATGCTTTAGACTTCCTTTTGAACTTTCTTTTGAATGGGTTTTGCTCGAGGCTTGATTACCAGCCAGTGTTTGGGAAAATGAGCCCGCACTCAAGCGTAAATCTCCTCAAACAGGTATGCAAGCTTAATATTCAGGAAATCATAAGAATAGTCAGTTAGAGTGTGGAAATCGTTAAAGCGTTTAGACAAATCGTTAGAGGGTTTGGACAAACCGTTAGTTCAGAGCATTTGGGCAAAACGTTAGAGCGTTAGAAAATCCCTGAAAAACTATTAGCTGTTCCTTAGTTTTGTGAAGGATAACGGATTACCATTAGTGTACGTTTTCCCAAAGAAGAAAGCCACCTATCTTGGAGGGCAGGCTGGCGACCAGGCGTGAAAATTTGGTCGCCACTGAGTAAAAGCTGGTCACATTGGCTACCCCACAGGTCGCAACGTCGAGCCCTTTGATGTTGGGTTTTGATCATCATAAGGTGAACTATACTCTGGGTGCCAGGGGTTTGGGGGCGACAGAATTGAGTGACGAATCAGCAAAACTGAGTCATCGCAAAGTGGTAAGAAAAGAAGTCACTGACTCTCAATACTGGTGAGCAAAAAGACCTCTGTCATTAAGGGTAGTTGAACTGCCTTTCTTCTCAGAAAGGTTAAAGTGTACAAGTGGAGTTTAACACAATTCCCAAGGCATGAAGACCATACAATATCAGCTCCTTTAACAAAAACATGGTTGTCTATAACCTGGGGGACGGGGAAACTTGGGTAAATTTTTGCAGTGTATGTACCACTAGCTTGTGAGAACCCCTACCCCATTATAGTCAATTCTGTGCCCAAATATAAACCCCATCTTACTCACTTTTGGGCCAATGAAATTTTTGCAATCCCAACTTAGTCACTTTCTATTTATGCATCTACCTTTTTAAAGCCTTTTAAACAGGTAATCCTAAGATGAATTGACACATTTTTTTTCAAATTCCTAGTTACCAAAATTTTCTTACCCCCTCAAATCCTAAAAAGGTGGGACCCCATCCAGCGGCACATCCCCGTTATTACTATTACTAGGAACCACCCACCCCACCCCCTCCCCCCACCAGGGTCTATAGTAGGCTTACCAACAGTGATTCAAATACTAAATATAGCCATACTGCAATATATTGCTTTGCTCAAATAAATGTCCGCGTCATTACTTGAAATTTCAGTGCACAGTTGCAAAGACCCAGACATTCACTGTGTTGAGCTGGCAACACTTAAGGCTTATAGCAGGGTTTGCATGCATTTGAAGATATTTGACATGTGAGCAAGAAAATTAACTTACCATTTTTAAAAGCCAGAAATTCAAAGACAGTGTGAACTAATGTGACGATCATGGTAATGCCCAATAGATAAGGATTTGTCTCCACCAAGGTTCTCTAGATTAGTAAAAAAATAATGTTACAAGTAATAACCAAAGGTTATTGAGTGCGGGCGAGAACAATCGATCAAATTGCATTTTGTTCATTCAATTCATTCTTAGTGGAAGTCCAAACGAACACTGGCTACAAACATGCCATGCATGCATAACGACAACCTGGAGATTAGGATTATGGGCTCCTCTTGTTGCCCGCAACAAGGTAGCCTGCGAACAGCAGACGCATTTCCGGTCGTCGCTTCTCTCCCTCCGAAAAATAGCGTCTGCGATCTCGAGCTCCAAAACGATTTCCGTGACGTCATTTCTTTTCTTCTTTACTCGACCAATGAAATTGAGTGATAGAAAGATGTTATTGAAGACACGCGGGAAATCGCGAGGACCGACAACTGCTTCAGAAGTGGCATTATGCACCCATGAGTGGGGAAACGCCGAAAAAAGTTACCTCGGCCGAAGGAGATTGTTTTTTGTGTAAGGATAAAATTCCCAGTCTCAAGGAGAAAGTGAAGATCTTTGGCAAGAGTGAATTGCAGATTGGTGCGTTAATTCATCGCGCACTTGGAGTCGATTTGGGTGTTTATGTCGGCAGCGAGAACCTCGCGATATGTCGCTTGTGTTATAACATGTTGAATGCCTACAACAAGGCCTTAAAAAAAAGTCAACCAGATCGTCGATGGTATCAAGCAGAAATTTGAAAGTAACGGACCTCTCCGTATCAAAAGATTATCAAAAGATTCAACAAAAGCGCCGGAGGCAAGGAAGAGTTTAAGTTTTGACTCCAACCCGTCGGGTGAAATTTCGCAGGGACCACCATTACCAGTAAGCTTAAAGCCTCCAGATAATGTTTGTGTGTCTGCTTTTACAAAGCTTCCGCCGGTTTTTGGTTTTGGTGCCATTAGCCCAATCGCTCCACTCTCGATTTTTCGAGCACCAAATTGTGTACAGTCGTCGGGAATTGTTGGTCCTATGCAGTTCTGTCCTATGTCGTCCTCAACACCAAAGACGCCGCGCGAGATTTCACAACGATCGATCACCGAAACGAAAGTATATCTTTCCGTTGAATATCCCAGCAAAACTGTGCGAAAGGAATTAAACGATGACCTTGCAGTTCTTGGAAAGGCGATTGCCTCCGGTTTCGAACAGCGCATTGCCAAAGCAATACTGAAGAATGTTAAACTGAAGAAAATTGTCGTGGAAAAAGTTCTCCAGCTAATGACGTCGCAAATTAATGGTATCTGTAGCAGAAAACAACCTTCCATGTTAAGAGCCAACACAAAGGAAGAGATTGTAAACTTCGATTTCGAGAAACTGTGTCTTGAATGGAAAGAAAGAGCGCCTATCTTCTATGCCTTTCTAATGACATGTGCTACAACTACTCGAAAGGAGATTGCTCCAGAATGGCTTCCTAGCATAGCAGTCGCAGGGTCGATCCTGTTAAAGCAGCGAAACTCACACATGAATGGCTGTGCAACAGTTCTTGGAATCCTTATCAAATCACGATCTTTGGAGGTAAGACAAGTCATAGATTATTTTGCATCTACAAGGGCTTTTGAAAGTCGAGTTAAAACTAACTTGATTAATTGTTTAATATTAATTAAATCAGCTGTAAAAGTGTTTCATATAGTTTTGTTTCATACAGACATTTATCAGTTACACATTAGATTTTGTTTGAATCAAGGGTTAAGGAAGGTGAATTCTTTGTTTTTTGGCTATCAGTGTGACGAGGGGTCTTGGCATTGTTATTCTTAATTATTCATGAACCTTCAGATATTAATATTTCTTAATACTTGTAGATTTTTTAGGACAAACAATATAATCAAAATTTTGATCTCTTGCTCTTTTGTTACAAGGCAACCTTTGGCAGATTATCCAAGATGAAGGTCACCTGTTCAGCCGCAAAAGTTCGTGCAAAATTTGATGTGTTAGGTGAAAATCATGGTCAGGAAATTCTGGACTTACAAAAGAAAATGTCCAATGAGGAGGAAGTTGTACTAGAACACACAAGGAAGGTAGTGGCAATTACTGGCAGTTGCAGTTCAAATGAACATCCATGTACCCAGCAGTGTGCTGATGATGCTACAAAAGCCAAATTTGAACTAAAACAAGCTAAGAAGAACATGCATCCTGGTTTTGCTATTGCGTTTGATAATATTGATGGAAAGCGTGAGTGCAGACATATGACCAAGGACAACCAAAACTTGGATTTTCATTGGGTCAATCACAAGATAATAATGAACAGAGTTTCTGGAGGTTGTCTTGAGACTTCACCAAGGGACATTACTTCCCTTTCAAATCTTAAATTGTTTCCCACTGTCGACGATCAGAAGTTTCAGCGTCACAACTACACAGTTTTGATATCAAGAGTTCTTGTGGAGCATTTAGATTGTTTTTCAGCTCTCAAGGATGTGTGTGTATTCCATATTCCTCACAAGTATTCCAATGAGATGGCCAAAAGTCAGAAGTTGTAAGTTTTTCTTTTTTCCTTTGGGTACTTTCATGTTGCTTTCTGCTTTTGTACTGATTTTCAAAGTTTTCCCCTTTAATATCTGCTTTCATGCATCATGAATGAAGCAATTCAATTTTAGTCACAACAATTACTTGTGACTATTTAACTGTAAATGTGTGGCCACATCGAAATATACAGTTGCACCTCGCTAACCCACTGAAAAGCCTGGTGGTAATAGAGGGGTTTGGAACACAGGACTAGGTGTGAAATTTTTTATGTAACTTCCAGATAGTTTAGTACCAGAATAATAAGATTGGTATAGATGTTTCCTGTAGCCAAGTAAATAATGTGCACAGCCTCTGATATCATGTAAAATATTATACTGTATATTTCAATGAAATTTCCTGTCAAATTATACTCTCATGATAACATAACTGCGGTGTGAAAAACATTTATGGGGGACTATTATTTGAGTAATATACAACAGGATAATTAATTTGCTTTGAATAAGCTAAGGCTGATTGAAAGAGCAAGTAAGTTCTGAGTTTCAGCTGTAATAAGGTATTATTTTCCCCTAAAGTTTCAAGTGAGTCACTTTCCTATTTAGTAAAGCAATGGCAATGAACAATAACAAATTAACATAGGATTTTAATGGTGAATTTTAAATGTGGTAATGTCAATAAATTATTCATTTCAGCTTCCAATGGGTGTGTTATTTAAAAATGAAAACCTGACTGAAGACATGATTGATATCCTCGACATTTCCAAACATACCTGCCTACTGTAACTATTCAAGGCGAGAAGAAATTTGCTAGTCAGATATGCACGGGGATCAGCTATCTGTTGAAAGAGCTGTGAATGCAATACATTCAGTGTCCAATGGTCATACAGCTGAAGACCGCCTTGAGGGGTTTACCATGCAGCTTGGTGACTGGCACACAGGGGTCAAGATACTTGAGGTAAAGAATGTGTGCCTTAAAAAGTGTGAAAATTATTATCACTAAGAATGTCTTACCACAAAAGAGAGAATATTGGTGACCTTAAACTTGCAAAGATGCATGACCTGTCCTAACTGTTTGAAAATATACATGTATCCTAAACTTCACTCGCATCTATCAAATCTTAATTACAGTCAATAACTGATTAAATCCATTTGAAAAAGATTCCTACTACTACTACTTTACATTTAAAGCAGCTGCTTGCTTATGATATAATCCTTCCCATCATTAATATTTATCTAGGCTCCATATGGAGTACTAAAGTGGTGATGTCATAGTATTTTGGGGCAAATTGTATCTGAGATATTAGCCACTTATGCTCTGAAACTCTATACAAACCCTTCTAATTTTTGGGGATTGACCCAAGAAAAATTAGAAGGGTTTATTTGGAGTTTTCTTAACATAACTGGGCTAATATCTCAGAGGCAATTTGCCCCCTAAAAGGTCATTAATTTTTTGGCAAGTAGACCTGTTGGGTATTGTTCTTTCAAAATATCCTGACAAAACCCATAATTTCCGAAATTTAATTTTTATGATGTCACCACTTTAGTACTCTTTTGTACTGTATGTAGATTTTATCCAAAACTATATCAATACTTTGTTATAATCATTGTAGAAACCATTATTGTAACATTGTTTTATATGATTTATTTGAAGTTACTATTTCAAGATTTTACTCAGGGAGTTCTTCAGATGACCATTGCACCCTATTTGCAGACAGAAACCTTATTAACAGGAGAAATGTGAGAGAGGATCCACACTCTGCCTACCGACCAGATAGGGATTTCTTGATTTTAGAGGTGAAAGCCAGGATTTTGGCAGCTGCATTCCATGTTCTTGGCTTAAAAAGCAAAGACGAAAAACCACTGCATTACCCTTTCCCAGAGGACCTTCCTAACTGGAACAAATTGCAAAGGCTCCAGTTCTTACACAAAAGCTGCTGGCATGATTGTGGATGAAATTGTTATTGATGAAGCAATGATGAATGGTTCTTTGCAAGAACTGGTGTCAGATGAGGAAAGAAGGGAAATTCAAAGATGTTTGGATGTTAATGAGGATGGCCGTTTCCCTTGTAGGTTTCCAGGGTGTAACACATCCTTCAAATACAATGGCAAGAGCAGGAGAAGACATGAATTAAGTCATGATCCACCAGTTGTAATAGAAGAAGTGACAACCACAACTTCATCCACAACCACAGACCAGGCGTCCAAAAGTAGTGATGATGTTTTTAATTACAATGCTGCACTTCTCTCAGAAGGACTTTTCTTTATGAACTTTTTGGATGCTGTCTCAGAAGGGGATGGCCAGCGGATCATGAGACAATACAAGTATCTAATGCTTCTATGTAAAGCAGATGACCCACACAGTACCAAGTATGCACTGGAGAGCCTGTGCCAGCTGCTCTTGGTGAATATTTTAAGCCAGAAGGAGTCAAAGATCTTTGTGTGGAACAGGACTGTTAACAATCATGGAGGTCTTGGAAACAACATTCCACATGACCTAGAAGTGGAGCATACTTACAATTTCAACAAGCAAGGCTATTGTAACATTGGAGCAAACCTCTCAGAGAAGGCAGTATCAAGAATCTGCCATGCTGAGAAACCTGTCAGGAACATTAGTGGAAAGGTGGACAGACTTCTTCAGCGGTTTATACGCTCAGGAAAGCATATTCAACGTTTTCCTGTAGTTGACTTAGATGTACTGTTGAAAAAGCTAAATGAAAGTGAAGTTTTCAAATACCAAGAGGGTCGCAGCTACAGGCATTTCAAGGGTTTTGAAAGAGATGCTTTGGTAAACCTAGACATGTCAAAGATGTATGCATGGTTAAATGATCACAACAAAAAGTTTTCTTCAGGTGTCAAGGCTAGGTAATGACTTCTTTCATTGCTTCTGGTCATTTGAAACTTAAGTAAAAAAAAAGTCTTTCCAAAACAAAAATTAAGCATAATGTTTGAAGAGCCCTTTCCCAGAAAAAATTCTGTACAAGGTTGGACAAGGCTGGGGTATTCAATGGGCTTCTTTCAGCTGTTTGATTCCACACCTACTTTTAAAGTGTTTGTAAAATTTTTGGCTTGGATCAAAATTAGGGAATATAAATTATGTTACAGGTCAAAATTAAATTCAGGTTAAAATGATTTTCAATTTTCTTTGTCTCCTAGCCCAAATTATTCATGACATTCATGGAAAATGGCACATTTTGAAGTAAAAATATACCATCACAAAGTGGCAAGTTTTAAAGACGTTTGTACGGTGGTGGTGATGGTGTTGGGGGACAAGGCACAAAATTATCTGCCCTCCTCCCCCCTCCCCACCCCCCCAATAATAGTTTCAAGTCCAGTTGCAGATATTTTGGAGGTATGGCCAGCAATAGGGAATTTTATTTTTACTAAGAGGACTGCCAAATGTGTGCAAGTAATAGTAGTAACAATGGATACTATTTTTATAAAATTATTATCTTAGCAATGCTTAGAATAATGCATGTAACCTAACTATAAGATCTACTGGGCTGTCAATAACTTTTATGCAATTCATAGAAGGGTAAATGAACGTATAAGAATAAAGTTGGGTTCAATTATTCATTTTTTTTTTTCCTTTATGAACAAAAGTAACCAGGGGTGATGCACATAGTAGCAGGACTTAAAGGTTTGAGTGTACAATAAGTTATATTAAATTTGTAAAAGAAAAAAATCTTTGGGAATTTTCTAACACGAATACCCTGTTACAGACCTTCAGGCCCGGTTCCTGAAAGGTCAATAAGTGTTAATCCAGGATAAAAATTTTGATCTGTTTTTGTATTTTACATTCCTATGCATTGTGTAGGGTAACATTTTGTGTTATTGTTACTGTATGTCATAGAGAAGGCTCATTTTCTTAGACGAGAAAACTTTGCCTGAAATTTAGCTTAATCCTGGGTTCAACGTAACTATCTTTTGAGGAACCGGGCCTAGATAGTTAGGGGCGAGTTAAATGCTTCCCCTTTTCACCTTATTTTGAATTCTCAAATGCACCTTACATGTATCTTAATGCCTGGAACAGGCTATAACAAGAATGAAATTGTACCTGACTGGTAAAGAATTAAAGATAATAACATTCAGTGAATGAAATGAGGGTGTTATGTGGTAAATCTTTATCTTGATGTTATTTTTGAAACCGTCAAATGATATGTGAGCCCCAATAAAACTGATTAGAAAATTTCATCTGTAACAGAAAAACTAGACACTGATTTCGTAAAAATTCTGAAAAATTAAAATTCATTTCCATACATGTAAATGAATGATTGACTCTGACAGGTGAGATTACCATATATCCTCTGGGGCCGGGTTGTTCAAAGCTGGGTTAAAATAACCCAGGGTTAGTCTAAATTTGAATTAAGATTTGAAGGCTTAAAAAGTAAATTCACTTTAATTCTTTCTGTCATCAAGTTGATGGTTGGATGCTCTTCAAAATAAGGGAGAAAATTATCCACGAAAATGCTCTTAAACAAAGAAAAAAAAAACCGGGTTAAATTTAACCCTGGGTTAAGCACTAATCGACCTTGAACAACTGGGCGGGGTTTCTAAATGTGACTGCACATTACACCCATTCCCTAGAAAATGTCTGAAAATAACTCTGCACCAAGACATTCTATATATGTTCAAAAAGTGTTATATATATCACCTGTTTAAACTTTGATCTCTCTATTGGGTACACCAGTACAAGCAGATGCCATTCGAAAGTCAAAAAATGTGTCTGTCCTCAATGTCAACAGAAAAACACCCTATATTCCACTGTTAATATCCTCTGAATCAACATAGGAAATTATTAGAAGTCTTGTTGGCTCAACAGTACCGCAAATATCTACATTGTCCATAACTTTGTTTCAAAATTTACATTCATGATTTGAACACTGTATCATTTGTTCAACACTGCATCAAAACTCAAATTTAAAACTGCGTTTAAAGCAGCAAATGGAACACCTCGTCTACTTGCTCATCAGCAGATTCATCTGCTGACTCATCCCACTGAGAAAAGCTGAGATTGTCAATAACCATATTAGCAAGTTCATCGTCCACAACAAGATCATTCCAATCATTTCAAGAAAGTCACTCTCTTCATCGGAACATTCATCTTCTGAACTCAGTTCTATGTCTAACATGTCTCCAAATACTTCTTGCATCACTGCGTGAATTTCAAATGCATGCTGCATATCCCATATCTCCACCACAGTACAAATGTCCGACACAGAAAAAATTCATTACAGTGTTCCGCAACTTGTTGAATTTGCAGATCAGAAAATCCAAGCAAAAACTTGGGGTTGGTGAAAAATTTCATTTTCCCACTTGCATCTCTTTGTAACAGATTGGTGTGCAACTTCTTGTGATATGCAGCCAGTTTATTTACCAGTGTAGTTTTCTGTTCCTCTGTAGCTGACCGTTTTCTTTTTGAATTGAGATGGAGATCAGCTCTACAGAGAGGGTAGGCAAGAGGTTTGCATTCATATGTGCCACATTCACACATGACTGAACAGTTGTCACAACAAAGGTGCGCAGGATTCTGTGGAGAACAATCCACATCAAAATATTGCAGCAATTGCTTACGTCGGCAGCCATTTGATTTTATGTAACTCTTTATGTCCTGGTCCACATGAATAAGTTGCATTCCTTGGTAGAGCAGATAAGCGGTACACTGAGAGCCATCCCTTCCTGCTCTGCCACTCTCTTGCAAGTAGCTTTCTACATTTTTGGCTGGGCCAAAATGGATTGTTCGATAGACCTTCTTACAATCCACACCCATGCCAAATGCAATTGTAGCAACAAGAATACGGATATGTCCTTCATCACACTGAAATGACTCAAGAATGAGATCTTTATTTGACTTGGGGCTGCAAGAATGTAACATTTCAAGAACCACTCTTTTTAGATCTTTGTTCTGTGGGTCAACATAAATTTTATCCCCAATAAGGGTCTTCAGTGTTGAATACACAACTGCACACTGCTTTATTGTCTGACAATAAATTATTGTTCTAGTAGCCATGGAGTGTTTGTCAATTACCTCTTTGGCTATCCAATGAAAATAATCTGAAAGGCGAGCATTCCTTTCCATGTACTTAACAACATATGCAATGTTGGGTTTGTTTGGATTTTCCTCAACAATGTGAGGCTCTTTCATGATGAGTACTTCAAAAATTGTGTCTCTAGTATCTTTTGTGGCTGTAGCAGTAAGGGCAACAAATGGAGTGTGTGGTAATAATGAACGCATCTCATGTAACCGAGAGAACCACACTCTAAAGGCTGCAAGGTTGTTGCTCTTTGATTTCCCCCTAGAAAAACGATAAATGATTCAATATTACATTTGAGTTAACCTTTTGATTACTTGTTTACTACCAGTGTATTATAGCTTCTAACATTAAACTTGCAATCGCATCATACAGAAATAACTCTCTTTATTCTCTTGAAGAAATCGTGTGAACCAATGTCAACTGTGTGACATTAGGGTTATCCTGAGATCAGGCCTAATTTGAGCGGTTCTCATACATTCTCTCTAACGTCTACCGCTTTTCGCCTTGCCCGCCGGAATGTAGTTTTCAAAGCGAAACGAAAATAGAGCCTGATCTCAGGTTACATTAGGGTAAGATCATGCTAAATATGCAATTGTATACGAAAAACTTTCACTTAAAACTGTTAATTCTATTCCCCGGGAGTCAAGAACGATGAAAGAATAACCTCATTGAAGCGATAATAATATTTCTTACCAATGGCAAATCACGTGCGCTTCATCCACGGCAACTGCTCTCACATAGGATTTGTAGGTTTCGCTTGCCAACATTCTTCGCCATCTAATGTCGCCAAGCCAAGATTCAGGTGATCCGTAAACGATAGAGAATTCTCCACTCTCCACCTTTTTTATCTCCGCCGCCGAACTGATATCACTAAGCGATATTGCGCTTACTCCAAGCAAAGATAGACGACTCACTTGATCTTTCATAAGATTAATTAACGGAGAAATCACGATTACAATATTCTTCTCGCATTTATCTACCGAAGCAAATACCGTAGGTAAAGCTTGGAACACAACAGACTTTCCATAACCAGTCGGCAAATTGACAAACACATCGACTTTTAGTTCCACTACTTGTCGAATTGCTTCTTCCTGGTGCTTGTTAAGCTTCTCAAAGCCGAAAATATCGCATACTTTGACAAACGCGTTGTCCAGCGAACTCTCCCCATCTTCCGCCATTTTGGTTTTCTCGCGGATATCGAGATCCCCACGTAAAGCCACGTAATGCCCACGCGTGTTAGCTCCTCAAAAATAAGAGCCGAATTCTGATTGGTGAAGAAATACTGACGTCACGGAAATCGTTTTGGAGCTCGAGATCGCAGACGCTATTTTTCGGAGGGAGAGAAGCGACGACCGAAATGCGTCTGCTGTTCGCAGGCTAGCAACAAGGGGACCAGTCAGGTTCTACAATGCAGGTTACTGAGCAAAGTCTGAGTAAGAAAGGAGTTGAAGTGATTTTGATAAACATTTGGATATAAAATACTGCTCCAATAGCAAGTGTAGCATTGTTTATTTAGTATACCTGCCAACTTTTTCTGAGATATAAGCATGAGATTTTTATCCTGGGAGTGCTGGGATTTTTGAAGACGACACGATCATTTCCGAAGATTCCCGAAGAAGTCCAAAGTCTTCCAAAGACGTCCGCGCCTTTGAAGTTTTCACTTGCTTTTCACTTCAAAAATCAGAGATCGCGAGGAAGGTATTGTCATTTATTCATTTTACACATGGTTTTCATTCCTTACATGGGTCTGAGTTAACATATTTTTGGAAATTGTGTCAAGCAAGACGGCCACAACTCACATTTTTCAAGCAGGCATGAGAAATTGGCCCACAAGCGTGAGCCGGCGTGAGATCGAAGTTTTCAACCCGCAGGCACGAGACTCACGCCTAAGGCGTGAGAGTTGGCAGGTATAATTTAGTATTTACATTTTGCAACAGACTCTTATTTTTTGACTTGATAGATATGACATTAGCTCCACATTAAAATGTCATTGTCTTTTCAACAGTTTTTGAACTTTTTTTTAATAAAAGGAACATATTAGCAAAGTATCTTGTATCCAAACAGAAAAGAGTTGTTAACGCAAAAAAACACAACAACAACAACATAATGTAAGTGTAAACGTTTCTAGCACAAAAGCACTAAGCTGAATAATGTAAAAGTGTAGGCATTTGCGCGGTAAAGGCAGCAACTTCTTACTCAGTGATTTTAAGACCTTTTATTGGTCCAATCACAGGAATCAAACCAACAACCCACTCTGCGGAAGAAAGCTCTACTGAAAAAGCTGACCCTGCTGAAGTTAAAAGCATTTTTCCTGCCTTTTTTTATTTTCTGTTAGACAAACTATAGTAAAACAATCAATGCAAAAGGTAGTAACTTTATACAAAGGATGTCTGCAATTCATTTAAAAGGTACTTTTAACAAGGGCATGATCAGGTAGCAGTGTCGTTGTTTGTTATTCTCTCCCCATATTTCTGGAAATTTACCTTAATAGAATCCTGTTCCTCTTCAGTCTGTTCTGGTTCATCGCCTAACAATGAAAACCATTTCTGTCTCATTCTCTGAGATTCATACATTTGCCATTTGAACAGTGATATGGGGCTGTAGGTTAGATGTAACTCAAGGGTCCTGCAAGAAAAATAAAATACAACATTACAAGCTTCACATGGTTTCAAGACTGAAGAAAGGGTGTAACCTGTAACACAGGCACAAAAGCATGGGACCTAAATCACTTCTCCCTGTCCCTTCCCACTCCTCCCCTCCCCTCCCCACTCCTCCCCACCCATCCACACAGACTATGAGGAGACATCTTATTAAGATGAGCATACTAAGGTTCAGTGTATTTCATATGCACATGGGGTCCCTGTGTGAATAAAGTTTTTAGGAGTTTTGGGTTCTGCTTTAACGCACTCCATGACTGAATGCACAGAAGTGCAGTGGCATTAGCATTTTTATATACTAAAGACAAGCCCTACCCTTTTCAAAATTCATCAAAGAAAAATGATTTATTTTAAACTTACTTTGTTGTCTCATTGATTGGCATGTAATCACTTGCTAGATTCCAGTACTTGTTAAGGTACAAAAGAGGATAGTATTTGCCGGTGATGTTTTCAAAAATAAGAACTGAAACAAACAAAAATATATTGACAGACAAATCAGACAATTAAATGATTCCACTCAAAGCTTTTACCATCTTTCTTCATCACCAAATCAAAGAAAAATAGAAAGCAAAACAGAAGGGAAAGTTCATGACATACACTCATCCATCGGTTGTGGAACGGAGCCCTGGACCCAAGGTGTCTGATCATCCATTAGGTTGATTGTGAGGTTTGGGTGCCAGTATGAAATAATTTCAGCGGGTTTTTTACTTTCTGGCGATTGCTGTAGAGGGAAAGAACCAAAATGAAAATTAACAATGGGAAGGGTGGATTGCCAGAAAGAAGCCCATCCATAAATGAATTCACATCAACAACCAGATTCACCTTCTAATTTCCCCTTCTGAATGCTTTTAAATCAAAAGAGAGCATTTAATATCAGTTTTGGAGTAACCTAGGATTGTATTTTATGCTTCCCCTTAACGTCAGTACTATCAAATTAACAGAAAACACCCACTGGACAAAAGGTCTAAATTTTCTTACTATACATGTAGATAGAAGTCTACCCTGTTAAAAATCTCTGAGGAAGAAAGGTGACCAAGGGTTACAAAAGTAAAAATAATAAAAAATAGAAAGATTTTGCAAAAAACAGTGGCTTGCAAAGAGAGGCTCGAGGCTCCCAAAAAATGGGTCAGGATCGCAGGCTCGCGTATTAGTTACACTCGAAAGGATATATCTAAAGGGATCTAGCGTACTGTCTGATTACCAATGTTTTAAAAGTTAATACCAGGTAAGTAAACAAATGTTATTTTACATCCAAACTAACCACATCTACAATATCTGGATTGGCATCAGCTTTGCCAGTCAACAAATTCACTGTTTTGTGAACTCGTTTCTTCCTGAACACTGTCAACACTAAAGAAAAAATAGAACATGTTCCCGTTAGAGATTGCTAAGGGAATAAAATGACAGGCTTTACTTTTCAAAAGCACAGAGACATCAGTACAGGAGATCTAACCACTCTGCTAATGGCTTAGTTTTGTTAAGGAAAAAAATCACCGCACAAGAAATAAGTTAATCGGAACTTCTTTTATAAAAAAATTCTACACTAGTGACTTAAAGTAAGCCACATGAATTTTAACTCTATAAACACAGAACCATCGATTAAAACTATTCATAAATGTATCCAGTGACTGGGATATACAATAGCTAACATTGATTAAGTTTGCTCTCCATGAAAGACACTGAGGCCGGTACTTACACATAGATCTATTTACAACAGCCACCCTGTTGAACTTGGGATGCAAGGGATCTGGAAATCTTCCACTTTTGGTTATGTAAACATGAATATAAAGTGTTCCATTGTTCTGAACTTTCTGTTAAGTCAAAAGAATCATTGTTACAAACATGTTAAACCACAACAAAAAGGTCCAGTTTAGATGCCGTACTTCACATGAGCCGAATCAAATTCGGATTTAAGCTGACTCAGCCAGATTGATTGCGACACTGAACTTTATTCCCGCTGAACTAAATTCAAAAGGGAAAATATTTGCATTTCAGTAAACTACATTTTTTAAAAATTATGCATTTGGTTTGGCTCAAGAGTAGGGTTGCAACCATACATTTTCTCACCATACAATACATGTCTCGATACCGAACCAATGATATGATACACGGTTCGATAGATCATTACATAAAATGGACAAGTGGCATAATCTTACTAAACTGCTTTGAAATCATTTATTTCCATTCATAACAAAGCATGGTAATAAATAAAATTGTCAATAACAGAGCACAATTATAGTGTGATAAACTCAAGAAATAGTCATTCATAGTAAGAAGCTACAGTATCTATTTGTTGCACTGATTGTATTTAACAGCTGTCGATAGAATCATTAAAATGATTGAAATTAAAATAAAATTAGGAAATAAGAAATGTGTGTTTAACCTGTTTTTGAACGACTTGAAGACTTGAATTGAGAACTAACTTGTTCTCGAACAGTGTGTTTTACCCATGCAAGACTGTCAGCTGACAACTAATTGGAACTATGCAATGTACGCATGTGTTTGTGCTACCATCTTGAAAAAAATGTGTCGGATCAGAAGCATGCGAAGCTATACAAAGCAAGGATGGAACTTTCTTGTCCCATTGTTTAATAAATAGCTATAAAAAAGCTTGGATTTGCATAAGGAGTCATTAAAGACAGTAATTTCTGAATGTTGATGAAGAATCAGATTATCATAATATTCCCATATGTTGTTAAAACATCGATATTCGTATCATGATAAAAAATATCGCAGTTCACTGGTGCACCTGTGAAGTTCAGCATCTGAATCAATGCTGTTATTCCCAGCTGAGACAGGCATGAAAAACAGCTGAGTCGATCCAAATTGCATTAGCTGTTTTGAATTGATTCAGATACCATACAAACATGAACGTAATTCATTGAATTTGATTAGGTTCATGAGAAGTACAGCATACAGTATCAGCATCTCAGGACTAAGATTTATTCCAGAGATAATATTGCTGTATACAGTGGAAAGCGTTAGACCGGAAGGATGGGGTGGAGTTCACCTCAGATAAAGCGTGACGTGACTATAGGTTGGAGTGTATGAGTGATAACAAGCAAGAACTGTGTCTGTAGTAAGTAGGACCTCCTCCTCCCCTCACTCCCTAGATCTGCCCTCGAATGGCAAGGCAGACACTGTCAAATTGAAAATTATTATCAACTGGAATAAACAAAGTCAAGAAAAAGGAAAAAATCTTTTTAAGATGCAGATATATCCCACCGACATGTACTCTCACCATCTAACAGGTCACCCAAAACAAACGAAAAGTAAAAACAAGAGAGAACATCTATTTTTATACAATGAAATTATTACCTTATTATTAATAGGACATTAACACAAATCATTAAAATTTGCTTTAATGTAAGTCAGATTAATTTTGTTAAATTTTAATTTCCCTGACGTTTATTAAGTACAGCATTAATTTCCATTGTTTTAACACCAATCTTGGAACTCTAAACAGAGAAAGGAAAGGGCATTGTTTTATGGTGTTGAAGATTGGTCAGTATCATGGACTGTGTAAAAAACACTAGAAATAACCAGATTCCATCATGAAGCCCTTACATTTAGGATTTTATGAACTGTTTTTCTGAGCAGATGGTTCAGTCTTGCATCCATCCCGTGCTGAAATACTACAATTTGTTTCAGTTGCATTAATCAAGTTTGAATTGTGTCTTTCTTTAACCAAATTCAGGCACCAAACTTTTCATGAGCCAAGCCTAATATATTAAGTTAACTAGTAGAAACATTTGGCATCTGAAACAATCACACATGGCTATTTTGATATTTTCGATTGGGCCTGTCATTATCCTGCCTGGCTCAGCCAGAAATTTTGACTTTGGAATGGATTTGTTTCAGATGATAAGCAATAAATTCATGTGCTGAATCTTACACTTAAAATTTTATTACAAAGCCTTTCTCCAAATTGCACTGATATTGGCTGAGAAAGTTTGACATCTGAGTCCACCTGAATAGAAATAAGCCCATGAATAGTTCAAAATCTGAACTGGATTTAAGACTGACTTTACAAAGAAATATCTTTCACCTCAGATGCCTGGATTGTGGTGCTGAATAACCGAGTCCCATCCATTAGAGGGCCATCCGTCCAGTTGCCATATTTCAATTCCTTTTCATGCCAGATAAGTTTTTCAGTATTGTTGAAATCTGTGAAGTGCTTCTCCTCTGCCAAATATACCCAAAGTTCCTACAAATGTATGAACCAATAATTATTGTTATAATTATGTGCAATTGCAGAAATTTTTAATTATTTTGTAGACTTATCAAAATAACTTTTTTAACAATGATTTTGAAAAATCTCTGGATTTGAGAACAAGATTTCATGAAAAGAAATTTTTTTTATATACAACCAAGGGTGCATGCTGGCCATTTACAAGGAAAAAACGGAAATTGCATTTGGAAATTCAAATGGTACATGCCACTCTGTTTGGGAAGCATGAGAAAACATGGGCTGTGATTTTAGGGAGTGCAATTTTTCTACTCTTTGGTGGGTTGTTCTCCCACCACGTCAAATCTTATAGTTTTATGTTTATGCGCAAGATTTCCACCCAGGTGGTTTGTGTAAAAGGTAATCAGTTATATGGTATTTTCTCAATTCAATACTGGATCTTGAAGAAATGCCAGGCATTTATTCATGGCATCATGACCTGATACATGTTATTTTATGGTTATTGTTACCCCAGGTAAACTGGAGGTTCAAACAAATACAGGATCTGTACCAGGTCAAGGATGAAATGCCATGTTATGATTATTGGTGTGCTGCCTTGTCCACCTTAACCCTTTCACTGTCAAATATGACCAAAGGCAAATTCGACAAAAATCCCAAATTTTATTTTGTAAATTTTTTTAAAACAAATAACACCACATGTAAGTACTATCAAAGAGATTTCATTTGAATGGTTGCACCATAGGATTTTGTCCACAGACTCAAAAGTTAGAACCACCTCACAAACTCCATCATCCACTCTGGCAGTGAAGGTTTAACTGACTCAAAAAAAGGATTGTGTTGATTCCAGGAACAATGACTAATTCTTACCATTGACAATTAAGATATTTTTATCGTTTGAAAAGGTTAAAGCTACAGTACCACTAAATATATTTTTTAGTAAAACCACACGCACAAAAAGAATAAATTAACACCTGTCCAAGTAATTTATGTAACGATCAAACCTCCATATAACGAACAAAGTATAATAGCGGGAAAACATTCTTAAATATTGTGTTTCTGCCCAGTTCTTGATTACAAATCTGTTATGAACTACGTTAACTCTTTTAAACAAATAGGAAAGTGGTGTTTTCTTTTGATCTGTAAGTTGTAAGTTTTGGGATGAAAATGCCGGTCTTTAATAGGAAGTCCACAGAAACTCGCCAATAAACACAACGGATCAAACAAATCAACAGATCTTTTCAAATAAAAAACCAAGTAACTAACGCTGAAGAAACATATAACTTAAGCTTACTATTTTCTGATCCGTTTTGAACATGTTCGTGGATGCCACAGTGTTCGTGTTGCTACTCTGCTGCCGGCCACGAAACAGATTCGAAATCATCCAAAAAATGAACATCCGAAAGAGAAGACCTTTCCAAATTGACCCTTGCTGTTGTTGCTGTTGAGGCTGGCCATTTTGTTGCTCGTTATTCCCCGCTGTTCCATTCTGAACCTGGCTGTTGGTTTGCTGTGCGCACGCTGTCGATTCACTTCGATTTTCGGTCGCCATGATGGAAGAAAGGATGAAGAAATAGGGTAACCACGCCTTCACTTGTGAAGGTCAGGTGCCCTAGCCATTGTTCCCTGTCCCGTCCAGCATCTTTCTTTCGTTTCTTTTTGGGCGCTGAAAATCTTTTTGGTGTGTGATCACGACAACCGGTGAAAAAGTTACTTTATTTAGTTGACTTGTTCATGATTAAGCTTAAAACTAAATGTAATAATCGTTGGCAACAGTATTTGAGTTAAAAATCATCATTTTTTGGCTCAATTATCTCACTGTTTTAGTATCATGTACCAAAACAATTATTCACCTCAGTGTCGGGGGGGGGGCTAGTGGTGGCTTGTACTAAAACACGGGGAACGCCGGAATAGTAAAACCCGGAACACAAAATTACTAAAACCCAAAACGCATTTTAGCTAAAAATAAATAAAAATGAATAAATAAATGAATTAATTAATTAAAACTCCAACAGGAAAATTCCCCCAGTATCCCCACCCACCCACAACCCCGGCTGCCAAAAAAAAAAGCTTGATTATCTTTAACTGGTAAGAACGTTTTGCAGTAATATTTATCTTTAAGTGATGATTATAATGTGTTTTAAGAAACCATCTAATATGTTGTGTCGATCCTATATTTCCGGGTGGCAAAGATTTTGGTGATATTTCCCGCCAAATGATAATGTAATTAACATGTAGTGGTACAGTGTTGGGAAAATGGACGCTTCTGCGAGGTAAGTGTTGTTACGTTCTTTATTTAAGACTCGTTTCTTTTCGTTTATTACGTTTAAGATATTCAAAGTATTAAATATCAGCTAAGTAATCACTGTTTTGTGTTTAGCAACAGTCCTTAAAGCCCGGGAAAAAAAAGGTAAACACTTGAGTTTTGGAATGTTTCGATTGAGTGTCTCATCGATTCTTCGAATACTACTGTATTAGAGTTTTATCCTTTTCAGCACTTCTACTACTGTACGTTTTATTTGATGATATCAGTGAATGTTGGTCAGTTCGACCGCAAAGTTAAGTACTCTCTGGTACTGTACGTGGATAGTATTCGGCTAATACACTACTTGTCATTAGTCATGATTAGGTGGCGTGCAGTTGATCTTTGACACGAAGTGCTACAAATAGACCCATATTTTAATTTTAGCAACCATATCGCGTATTGTATAATAAATGGATCGAAAATTCTCCAATTTCAGGTCTTAGGATGTGGCGTAGGATTTCTAAGCTCGATTGTAAAATAAGCCAGCGAGCACAGTCAGCGGTCAAAAGCAAAAATCCAACGCCCAGTGTTGGTAATCTGATTGAACATTTTTTTAGGATCCTAACATCCGCGCTTCTAGTTTTTTATTTGTATTTATTATTTTTTAATTTATTCATTTCTCGTGCGTTCCGGGTTGTAGTAATTTTGTGTTCCGGATTTTAGTATTCCGGCGTTCCGGCGTTCCGGCGTTCCGGCGTTCCGGCGTTCCTCCAATTCTGTACTCTTATCGACCATAGAAATGACAACAACATACTCAAAACGCAAGTGAAGTCGAGTTTTGAACATTTTTACGTCATTTCTAGATCTTGACCAATCAGTGCGCGAGAAATCGATCAGTTACTGGAAAAAATTTTAAAAAATTGATGTGTAAAAATGCGGGGAATATCCATCCACGCTACACTAAACTATGGATGAGCTTTATATTAAGGCTTTAATTGTCTACGGTAAGAATTATCACTGACGCTAAAAACGAATTACATTACAAAAATAGCGGGAATTAAAAAGGTTATTTACCACAAATACTTGAGTAAAAGGCATTAACATTGTCAGCGTATACAGAAGCCGGGGGTAAGGCATTCCAAACTGGGACAGTTCTAACAAAAAAAGAGAACTTGTGCGTGTTATTGTTAGACAAAAAGCGTTGATATTGAAATGGGTGTTGCGTGCTGGCTCGCGTGACGCACGGGGAGGCTGTCTCTAGTAGACGAATTGAGAAAAGGTTTTGACGTGGCCTGTTTGGATCTTAAAAACTATGATCAAGTCAGAAATCCTTCCACGTGTTTCAAGATCTTGCCACCCTAACTTTGATATCATGTTTGTTACGCTACTGGTTCGGTGATAGTCGTTGAAAACAAAGCACGCTGCGCGGTTTACAGTCATCTCGCCACCAACGAAATAGCCACCAAGAAGTCTACTCGCCACCGCATAATAACTCTACAATAATTGACACTGTCTACTTACCTGGGATCGTTACTTCTTCCTTAAGCCCAAATAAATGTTTATCAGTTTTAACTGACACCTTGTGCGGAACTTCTCATTTTAAGTTTGATTTTTTGTGAGCGACTTTTTAATACCTTCATACGGCTTATGTGCATCGCTCGAGTAGTGCGATTTGTTTAAAATCCAACAGCCTTTCTTATGAAAGTTGGTTCATATTGTCACTTGAAACTTACTCCCTTAAATTTCATTGTAAATTTAAAGCGAAAGAATTCTTTTCAGACACTTGTCTTAAGGTGCACATTTCTTGGTGGCGAGGTGACCGGATACCCGCTGCGCGACGCTGAACGGCCGTTCTACGCAGGTGATGTCCTTCTGTGTATACGGAGACCAGGTAACGGCGTCGTATCCACACATTGGGCGGACTAAGGTAAAGTAGGATCGTTCTCTATAGGACGCTAGGTTCCTCTGCAATACACCTAAGATCTTGTTTTCTTTCTTTTTCACTTCCACAGTCTGTTTGGACCAGTTAAGGGAGCTGGTAATGTAAACCCCTAGATATTTCTGGAAAGTGACTCCCTCTAAAGGAATGTTGCACAGAGTTTACAAGATATGATGATGGCTGGTGCTTGAGGGTGATTGACATGGTGTACCATTTGCTAGGGGCAAAGTTCATTTGCCACATAGCCGCCCATTACTCAAGCCGCAACAGGTCCTGCTGAAGCGTACCATGGTCAGCCGAACACACAATATGGCGGTAAAGCACACTGCCATCCGCATTCGGTAAGGGTAGATCGTTGATAAATGGAAGAAACAAAATCGGCCCTAGAACTGTGCCCTGGGGTACACTAGATAAAACAGTTGACCAATTAGGTGATGAACTATTCAGCACTACGCGTTTCCTTCTACCAGTGAGAAAAACCCGAAGCCAGTTATTCAGTTTCCCAGAAATGCCATAAAATTTGGCCGTGAGGGGGAGCCTTTCGTAAGGCACAGTGTCGAAGGCCTTTGCGAAATCAAGGAATATCACGCTAAATGCATGAATAGACTAGCGATAAATGCAAAAACCCTTTTTCGCAAAAAAATGGTACATATTTATCACTACTTAGGCTATCGATCTAAGTGCGTAAAATGCCCATTCTTGTGCGCAATTTGATCGAATGAAAACCATTGGATGAGGCTTCGTCTATCAGATTTGACATTCTCACATCACGGTATTTAGGGTTTGCTTTAAGGATTGGTCATTAATCATTGGAGGGCCGAAGAGTCAGCAAATTTGGGGGGAGGGCTAAGATTTCTTAACCTCAATTTCAGGAGGTTTTCCTCGGCGTTTACAGTTTTTGTGACTCTCGAATAAGCGCCTTAACAATTCGGCCAAATGGGGAACACGGCGCCTCTTTAAGGAAGGCTTTTTATCGCGAGGGTCGCCAATAAGGTGCGCTAGCTGAAACTTTATTTTGGCAAATCAGATAAACCAATACTGGGGATAGAGATATTTTAACCGGGCCCACGACGTCATCACGACCAAGTTGAAGAACTAAGCTACAGCTAGAGGCCGAAAGGCGTTGCCTGGGCTGCAATAACACCTAGACTAGACAGAATATACTGTACTGTATAAAAAGAGCCCGTGTTTACCAGAACAGACACCCAACAGCCTAATAAAAGGAAGCAACCCCACTAAATCCATCCAGATCCAAGGACTACAAATCAGTAAACACCCGCGTATAAGAACCGACATTTTTTGAAGTCTGGCAAGAAAAGGTTCTTCTATTCTGGGGTAGTTATCGGCAATTCAGGTTAGGTAGGTTCTTAATTAGGTATTTAATTTCTATGAAGGAGATATAGTTGTTGACTACAAGAAATATTAAGAACCTCTTGAGTTTGGTCCTTAAATATACAGTATTTGAATTGTAAACCTTTCTATGGTATGGGCCACTCTCCTGTCTGCCATATCTTATTGCAGATTTTATGCAAGGCGCTTATCACGGCGTCTCCTCCTGCCTGTACCAGCTCCCCCGGGATATTGTCTATCCCTGGAGATTTTTTCTTCTTGAACGATTTCATTGCGTATCATGAGCAAATAAAGGCTGGCGGAGCCGATCCCCCTCCAAAAACCTGGATATGGCTTCAAAAACTCAAAGAACTTTACGTTGGCGCAAGTAGATTAATGCAGGATCAATGTAACTTCTGGGTTAAAATGTCACAGGCTGGCCAAACTTCCATTACTGCGTGGGAAACAACCGCGCGTTATTTGGTACAAATGCGGAAGAATTCATGAGAGACAAATTTCTTTTCGGTCTTAACGAATTCTTCACGCGTTTTCGGGAACATATTTTCTATGGAGATGGCCAGCGGAAGCCTGATGACCCGCCTTTCACCTTGGCTTTCGTGGTCAGTCACACCCTATCATTTGAAACGGCTCAACAAACAAACAAGCTGTTGGCAACCTCTGCAATTGAAGAACAGATCCATTATGCTACATCTGCGCTCGCAAACAAAGGCCTCCCAAAACCCCCTGAAAGACCTGGAAACAGATCCCGAAAAATCTCCAGCTACTGCCACAAAACCAGCCATTTCACATACGTTTGTCAGCATGCCTTCAGAGCCCAGTGACCCTCCAGTACCACCCCCAAAAGGCCAACTCCACCGGGACCCAGCAGGAAGGCATTCAGTATGGGAACTGCTTTACCCTCTCAGAAAAACAACCTCCTGATCTTCTTAGCACAGCAACTACCCCACCCTCGCTTCACCCACCTATCGCGGACAAAGGCCATTTCGTGATGCTTGATTTAAGGAGTCTAGACTCCCCCATCAGTAAGCAGATTCCTTTCCAGATAGATTCGGCAGCTTCCTTGCCGTCCAACCACTTCACCAACATACCTTGCGCCAAGATCTCTCCATCCAAGACTGTAATACTGCCCTATGCCAGTCCACCAATCAAGCCTATCGGCCATGTCACCCTTACAGCTAGCAAAGGTAGATCCACGTGTGATCTCACCTTCCACATCATCAACGCTGAACAGCCAGCCTTACTCGGTATAAAAGCCAGCAAAACGCTTGGCGAGCTAACTTTCAACCGTGACGCTGATTTTATAAGAAAATGCTCCACAAGCAACCGTCCCCAATGTCTAGCCTTAATCAAGATTCGGCTGCTGGCCCACCCCCAGCCCCTCCAAACACTTCAGATCGGATTTGGCCTGAGCTTGGAACTTTAACTCTCAAGTTTATTTCAGAGAACTGCCACTTCATCTTTCAGGGACTTGGGTTCCTTGGCCCACTGTTGACTTTGACCTGAAGTCAAACGTCTGAAAACTGGATTCAATCAAAGCAGCAGTGGATACCTATGAAGCCACCGGACAGCTGATGAGAGTATCTGAATCAACCGACTAGATATCTAACATCGTTGTAAGAGAGAGAAAGTCAACTCCCACAAAACCATGGGAAATAAGGATCTGCCTAGACCTTTCCAGACCCTCAACAAGGCCATTCGTCGTCCTACAGTACATCATACCGACTTTGGAAGAGAATATCCACAACCTACATGGGATGAATAACATGACAGTGATAGTTGTCAAAGAAGCTTTCCAGAACATCCCTCTAGCAGTGAAATCATCCCTAATGACCACCATGTTCACGCCGTGTGGTCGCTACAGGTGGACCAACTACCATTTGGCATATCCTCAGCTTCTGAGGAATGGCAGCGCAGAATTCACATGGTCCTGGAAGATCTGCAGGTCATCAGTATCGCCGAAGACATCTTAATCCCAGGCTGCGGTGCCTCGGACACTGAGGCCAGGATCGACCACGACCGCAAGCTCATTGCTTTGCTCGATAGATTTGACCAGCATCATGTAAAGTTAAATGTCAACAAAATGCGGTTCCCTGACCACGGAGCGACCTTCATGGGCCATGAAGAAGCACAAAATATTTTCTAAATTTAGAAAAGCGTAATCACGTCAAAAAACATATAAGAAAACTGCTAATAAGTGGTTCCATTACATCTGATCCTTTTGGGATACTAAACGAACAAAAACGCTTTTACCATAGCTTGTACAAATCAAACGTAACAGATGAGGATAGGGAAAATGGAAACGAATTTTTAAATAATTTGAATATACCAAGATTATCAGAAGAACAAAAACAATCTTGTGAGGGAGAAATATTTGTTGAAGAAATTACAGCCATCCTTAACAGTTTTGAGAATAACAAATCTCCTGGTAATGATGGAATACCAATAGAATTTTACAAAAGTTGCTGGGAATTAATTAGTGATCCTTTTATGAAGTGTGTGAGAGAGTGTTTCGACCACGGTGAAATGTCAAGCTCTCAAAGAAAAGCAATCATAACTCTTATAGAAAAGCAACATAAAGATCGAACACTCATTGAAAATTGGAGGCCAATCTCTCTTATTAACGTGGATGCAAAAATCATCTCAAAAGTGATTGCGTTAAGATTAAAGAAAGTTCTACCGAATATCATACATCATAATCAAACAGGTTATGTTGAAGATCGCTATATTGGTGAGACTATCCGATCAATTTTCGATGTAATGGAATTTACAGAGAGTAAGAATATTCCAGGTATCTTGATTTTCATTGACTTTAAAAAGGCTTTCGACTCTTTAGAATGGCATTATCTTTTCAGTTGCCTTGAGGCTTTTAATTTTGGCCCCAATTTTATAAATTGGGTCAAAATGTTTTATACAAATATTCAAAGCTGTGTAATAAATAATGGAATGGCATCAGACTATTTTACTTTAGAACGTGGTGTGAGGCAGGGTGATCCTTTGTCCCCTTACCTCTTTATCTTAGCTGTTGAAAGCTTGGCAATCTCCATTCGTCAAAATGCTGATATCAAAGGAATTAAAATAGAAAATTACGAAGCCAAGCTATTGCAATACGCAGACGATACCACAGCAATCCTGTCTGATGAAAGTTCTGCAAAAACGTTATTTCAAGAACTAGAAGTATTTAAGAACTTCAGTGGGTTGGAGATAAATAGCTCTAAAACAGAAGGAATGTGGATTGGTTCGCTTAAAAGAAAAGATGAAAAACCGTTTGGTATTAAATGGCCCAGTGAACCCATAAAAGCTTTAGGAACCTTTTTTACATATGACCAATCATTACTTTACGAAAAAAACTTTCAAGAGAAAGTTGACAGCATAAAGAAGCTGACAAGTATATGGTCATCTAGAGGACTGTCCATTTATGGTAAAGTATTATGACTCGGGGATATGTATTATTAAAGATCTCTTGTTCAATCTCGACAATATAGAATCCTTTAATGCAATCAATAACATAATTGAGAAAGCTAATTTTCTTACATGGACAGGTCTCAGGCATGCAATTCCTTCTATTCTGAAAACAATAGAGTATACTACCTTTACAGAAAATACTTATTTTACAAAGGGGAATGAGATTTTTGACATAGCGGAAAAGAAAACGAAAGACTACTACTCTTTAATAATATCAAATAAAGCACAATTACCTAGTAATGCAAAGAATTTAAAACATGTTTTTGGCTTATCTGACGAAGACTTAAAAATTGCTTACAACCTTCCCCACCTGACAACACAGGAGCCTTACGTCAAATCCTTTCAATATAAAGTTTTAAATTCAATACTTTACACTAATGCAAAACTTTTTAAAATTGGATATCTCCAGCATGACAAATGTACTTTTTGCAAGACTGAACAGGAAACATTATGTCACTTTCTATTTTACTGTCAGCACTCAAATATGTTGTGGAAAAATGTTGAACAGTATTATTTAACAATAACAAAGGAATTTCACGGGTTGTGTTTACGAGAGGTTATCTGATCAAAATTATCTGATATTAATTGGTAAATTGTATTTATGGGATTGCAGAAAGAAACAGGTACTTCCAAACATCGAAGGTTTCAAATTTAAAGTAAGAATTAAATACCAAGTTGAAAAATATATTTCCATTAAGAATAATAAATTAGAAACCTTTTATGAAAAATGGCCAAAAGACATTTCTCCCCTTTAATTAAGTTCGTGAGTATGTAATTAAAAATGTAATCTTTTATTAGACACTTTTTTTTGTGTTTTTTTTGTGTTTTTGTATTTTTTATTTTTGTATGTGTGGTTATGTTTTTGTTTTTTTATTTCAGAGCGTACTGTAAATATTAAGTGTTAATCTCTCTTTTATCTACATAATTAAGTATTAATTAATTCTTTGTAAAATAAGCCTCATTCGGCAATTGCGCGGCTGTTTTGTGGCTGTAATGTATATAATTGTGAAATGTAGATAATTGTAAGTATGTCTGTTATTGCGGTTGTTTAGAACTTTGTAATTATTTTCTTTTTAAGTAGTTCTTTGTAATTATATAGTAATAAATGTCTTGAATTAAAAAACAAAAATAAAAAAATAAAAAAATAAATAATAATAATAAAAAAAGACCTTCATGGGCCATGTTATCACTACAGGCGACCGTTCAGGCTTTGGTCACCATGCCCACTCCAACTGATCAACAGGCTGTCCACAGATTCCTGGGTGCCGTTAACTACTTCAGCAAGTTCTGTCCTCAACTAGGTAGCATCACACAACTTCTGCGCGACCTCATCGGAGAGGACACGTCATTCTTACGGTCAGTTAATCACCAACATGCTTTTGATGACGCCAAAGCTCTAGCCACAGATGCGCCGTGGCTGGCATACTATGACGTAAACACCCCGGTAGTCCTCCAAGTGGACGCTTCGGACTATGGTTTAAGGGCAGCACTCTTACAGCCAAGTAAGTAGCACAGTGATGGTACCTTTCACATCTCTTTATTACAATCTGTCCCCTACCCCAACGGAACAGCGAACATAGAAAAAGAGTATCTGGCCATCGTTGAAGCCTTCAACGAATTTGACAAATGGCTGCTAGGAAAATCCAAAATTACTGTACACACTGACCATCAGTCTCTTCAATAAATCTTCCAGAAGGATCTTCCTTCGGCACCAAAACGCCTGCAGAAAATGATGCTTTTCCTACAGCGTTACAGTTCACTGTTGTGTACAGAAAAGGTTCTTCATTACACTTAGCGGATACACTTTCCAAAGCCCCATGCCAGAGCAGCTGCTCCTTCCGTACCTGATACCTTCCAAGTCTTCCGTCTGCATCTTGCTCACCTGGACCCTCGCTCACTAGCCCTTACAGATTCCACTCGTAAACAGCTAAACAGAGCCACCGTCTCCTACCAAGACATGCAACAGCTGAAACAGTACATCCTCCACATTTGGCCACCAACTTGACAGCAAATACCCCCGGACCTTCTAGCATTTTGGCACTTTTGATGAAGACCTTAGCCTAGCAGATGGTCTACCTCTTTAAGGCCCAGACTGCTGAGCAAAATCTACCAGTCATATAGAGGAGCCGAATACTGCCTCCGTTGCGCAACAGACGCCGTTTTTTGGCCAAGCATGTCTAAAGACATAGAGGTAGTTTGTCAGGCATGCCCTACCCGTGCCCAATACGGAGTGCAAGCCGCATTGAAGCCTATGCTCTCGCACCCCACCCCGACGCAGCCTTGGCAGTTTGTTTCACAGGATATCTTCGAGCTGGATCTTAAGCAGTACTTAATCACGGTAGACCATTATAGTGATTTCTACAAATTAGACCCGCTAACAAACAATCAGTCCTCCACCATCATCGATCTTACCAAAGCCCATTTCGCCCGCTATGGCATACCACTGCGCTGTCTCACGGACAGTGGTCCCCAGTTTGTCTCGAATGAGTATTAAACATTTGCTAAAACTTATGGTTTTGAACACGTCACTTCATCGGCCTACTGGTCTCACAGTAACGGTAAAGCCGAAGCAGCTGTCAAAGATGTCAAGTCTACTCTTAAGAAGTCCCACGACATCCACCTGGCAGTGCTCAACATAGGGAATACGCCACCTCTCGGGCACTCCTTCTCCCCAGCTCAAAGGGCAGACGTACCCTATGTACTCTCCCTCTCTCCGCCGAGCTACTCAAACCGGAGCCGCCAGATCCTTGGACACTTTGGTCCGAGACCACTCGCCGCAAGGAAGCCTCTAAAGCTCAGTACGACAAGCACCAAGACCGTCCCTCCTGCCACTGCCACTTGGTTCCCATGTTTACGCAAAACCTCGTCCATCTCAGCGGGGAACTCCTTGGATCTATGGTCAAGTTGTTGACAACATATCGCCAAGTTCCTGCAGCGTAGACACAGGCGACCTCGTCCTTCGCCGTAACCGCACTGAATTACAACCAGCGGCACCTCCACAGAATAGTCTACAACAACTTCCAGCACTGTCTATCCCACAGCCTTCCCTTTTAGGCACGCCAACAATTTCGAGTGACCTCAGTCAACGGAAGCTTAGCCAACCACCATGCCACTCCCCATCAAGCGGAATGTCAGCCCTATCTGCCCCCCCCTTCCACAATGCCGCAGCAACGGGTGCTCGAAACAAACACAGCCCCTCCCAATGCCGTCTGGCCAACCTCAACCATGCCTCAAACTACCAGATCAGGAAGGCTGATCAGAATGCCAAAGAAGTTTGAGGACTATAGCCTTTACTAGGAAACTTAATTAATTGATACCTCGCGTTTGTAAATGTTTTATTTTTTTTTCCATTTTCATTTCTTCAACAATGGCCTGTATATTGGCTGTACTCAGAGACGATATTTTTACTCGTATGTCATTTTATCTTATTTTTCGGAGAGGGGGGATGTCACGTTACCGTTGCGTTACAGCCCACGTATTTTCGTCTTGTGTTCGGAGGTTCCAAGATGATAGCGTGCTTTTGTAGTTGTTTGCAATAAATACAGCTCGAACACGAAATCTGGCCTGTATACCTTCTTCGTCGATCTTGACCAACATAGCACTTCTAATCCTACCCTACTTAAATCTACCCAACTATCTCTTTGTAAGAGGGAGGGGTTACCATTCTTTTTAATTTAGTTATCAATTTATTTTATTTTTTCCTTCGTATGCAACACCATCTATGTAAATGGTAATGCAAATAAACCATTGTTATTTTTGTTGACTTATGACCCCATGAGAATCAAAGGGACGCGTTACTATAGGAAACCGATTAAATCTATAACAAAGCTGCTTGGTCCGACCACAATGGTAGGCATGTTTACAAATTTCAATCGACGGTTTTTTAAGGGAGCACTATTTGTTGCTGTGCTTTCTTTTACATCCTTCATGGGTACAATTGTCATTATGGGACCAACTTTGATTTTGCTGTGGTTACGGCCGAGTTGGTTTCGTTGGATAAACGATCGACTTATGGTAATATGGCTTACTCTGCCTCCGGTACGACTTATCTGAATTCAATTTACCTGTTTTTTTATGCTTTCTTTTTCAGTCTCTACTGTGCCATGTACTTATCCGCACTTCTAATGCTTCAAGATTAGACTGTATTCAAAAATTACTTTGTTAAAAACTACTTACATCTCTCGCCTCCAAATTATGTATACATGTATATGCAAATGTTTTCCTGTTTAGCCCCGTCAGAAAAAAATGTTGTAAAAACTGACTTTTTCGGATATAAGGAAGTGTTATAAAATCAATTCAAAAGTGTTCCTGTCTTCAAGCCGTAAATTTTATATCCGCAACATGTCTCCTTCTAGTTCAGTCATCTGATGACAAATATGTTTCCACATCAATTATTCCTGGTGCCCCTAGGCTGTATAATGCTTTTAAAATATTGTTTTTTTCCTTTTTCACGTTGTGTGGTTGGCTACAATCATTTCTTTTCAAGGCATTATTAGGTAAGTAAGAGTTTCTGGGCAGTCAACTATTAGAGGTGTTAGGGAGATTTTTCTTAACCCGTGAAAAAGGGTGTAGAATACTTCACGCTATATGCGCTAAATTCCATTGTCTTTTTTGTTTACTTGTAGGTATTTTGCACTAGTTGTTATTCTCTGTTTCACCGGTCAAGTAAAATCACTCTACCAGCCTGATGCGTCAGAGGTTTTGTGATGAAATCTTAATAGCATGCAGCCTTAGTGACAGGGTTCTTTAATACGCTTTCACTATGGCTCCTATAAATGTTTTAAAAATAACCTGACTGTAACTCTGTTATCTATGCTGTACGGTTTCAAATGAGCTGGCAGTGAAGGGCAAATCCAAAACAAACATTTGTTAGTTCTAGAGTCCCGTTTATGTAGACAAAACTTGCCCCAGGAGGAAGGTTCACTCGCCTTCCCGAGCCCTGGGCAAGCCAACTTCCACAAACATGGCGAACCGTTTACATATCTCGCTCGATTTTTGGAAAGGTTACCGCCAAATGGACGTCTTCCGTCAAACAGTATTTTTTCGGCCAAAAATTATCTCCAAAATAGCCATTATAAAAACTGAAGTTTGCAACCATTGCTTCTTTCTTCTCCTTCGTTCTTTCTTTTAAGTGCCTATCGGGCACAAGGAACCTGCCTTTTGGCCATTTTTCACTCAAATGGCTGCAAATTTCGTTAGGTTCGTTTTCAAAAAAATCGGCTAGATATATAAGGCTACAACGTCACCCGCCTAGTCGGGTCACCCGTTTTCGATGGTAGGGTCATCCGTCCTATAGCCGGACCAACTTTTCTTCATTTTTAAACAGTTTGTCGCTCGCCCATGCTCAGCCGCGTCAACTTAATGATCAAGACTAGACTTTCTCAAAGTCCTACGCTTCTCGTTTCCGGTTCCGGTCTCGCTCACTTTGCCACCGAAAACATAAAAAAATTCTAGCTCGCGCTTTGCTCTCGAGAAAAATTTTGGGCTCGACTTGTGGGCAAGTCTAGGTCAAGGTGAGAATTTCGGAAACACCTTGAAAATCAGATTGCTTTGCAGTCTATTCCTGAGTTTCTCCCTATATACGGGGCCTTAGTTAGTTCGTGAGAGGGAAATGCATATGACCCTCTTTTGGTCAGCTTACTAGTGGTATCACCGAGGTCAGAATTCGAATCCAGTACGAGTCTGAATTTCTTTAGGCTTCTTTCCGCAGCTGCATAGGTGCATAACTGTGATTATCGTCTTTACATTTAGTTCTTCATACCGCAGTTCCAATATACAGTTCATACCTCATTATTTCAGAACTCAGACTGCAAAAGATGCAAAACAGCCCTACGGACGTGTGAGACTCGCGCGCTTCGCGCGTGAGACTCGCAAGCTACACTAAACCGCCTTTGAGAAAAAACCGACTGTTTTGCAGTCAATTCAGAACTAGGAACGCTGACTAATTAACATGACCGATGATTTCTCAGAGTTTAGTCTATTACGCTAAAACGACAAGGAGAACAGCCACGATTTTTGAGTGGATGATATGAGAGTACTAACACCGGCTGTACTTAAGTCAGTTCCGCCCAAACGAAGAGCCTGAGTAGCCCATCTTAGGTCACCATAAGACCTTAAATCTCATGCGCGCGTCCAGTTTTGTGAACAAATCCACTGATTAGTGTTTAATCAGGAATGGTTTAATCGCGTCGATTTTGTTAGTATGAAATACTGACGGATTGCCTCTCTCTCAACCTCGTCCCCAGTGTTTTCCACTTTTTAAAGGAAAAGCATTGGGAACGAGGTTGCCTCTCTCTCTCAGTCAAATCCCAAATCCTCTCACTCTACCCATATTCCAATCAAAGATTACCCTGCGAGGGATTGGACACGAGGAGAAAATTGCAATGGTGCAGTGACCTCATAAGCTGCTTACTCAGTAGGTAGCTTAAGCAACGGCGACGGCGACGGCGACGGCAACGAGAACGACAAAAATCAATCGGTTTAGATTGTCAAAACAACAACTTTGCACGTCCATCACCCTTTTTTTGTACAATTTCATTGCCGTCGCTGTACGACTACATCGTGAAAGTACCTAATTTCTCGTTTTGTTGAGGACGTGAACACAAGACAACGACTTTCTTTTTCTTTTCCTGAACTTTGCTACAGTCTCTTAGAATTAAACTCCAGAAAAATTTGCCAACATTTGACGAATTGAACGAGTTTGGAATAAGCGCGAGGACGTTTGAAGTAGCGCGAATTCATTTTTTAAGTGACGTTTTGATAGCCGTCGCCGTCGTTGTTGCTTAAGCTCCCTACTACTATTCATGCCAATGGGCATCCGAATCGGATGAACTGAGCCTTCAAACTGGCGTTATTTTTTCGCGTTTTCCGTCTTTTTCAGGGAAGAGTAGCAAGCTTGAAGGGGGCGAGGGCGTGAGACACGCGCGACGGGGGAAGGCGCTAGCCTCCCACGCAGGCGTTTTTTAGGGGAGCTCGTCTTTCGTCCCTCCCCACAAACGCCTGTTCAACGGAAAACAACATTCCTTTCCCAAACTTAGCCAATCACATTGTACTTTGACCTTCACCGCAGGGTAATCTGATAATTACTCGCTCCGCATGAAACACTGGGAAAGCTTTCTGACCTCTAATAAATGTGAGATTCAGAGCGGCAAAAGTAAGATTTAGTCAAATTCTAGAATACGTTATGCGCTGCATAACCTTAGCGAAGGATAGCCTGCTAAGCGAAGGAAAGAAAAGAAGGAAAACGGTAACTTTAGGGTCACGTTTTAGTCTTGTTTAGCCTGTCAACACTCTGTTTCAAAAATGTTGATTGGTCACTTACCACGCAAACGGAACAATGGGAAAGGAATGTTGTTTCGGTTGAGCAGGCGTTTGTGGGGAGGGATGAAAAACGAGCCCCCCCCTCTAAAAACGCCTGCATGGGAGGCACGGAAGGCGCAGGCCTTTTAAAAAAGCCAAAAAAATAGCGCCTATTGCAGGCTAGATGAACTCATTTGCAATATAGAGTGCGAGGATTTATTAACAACAAGACGAGACCTATACGGTCAACTTGTCTTGCAACTCAAAGGATAAATTTCTGAATGTTTTCGCCCGAGGTCATTTGAGCCCCGATTACCATAAAGTACAGGCCAGCTGCAAACAATCTGTGACGTCACGTGTCACGCTTTCCCGCCCGCTTATGCCACGGTTTGACGGGCTGCTAGAAAGAAGACGCCGTTGAAAATGCTCCGTAACTTTGTTGGCGGACTTTTCTACCTTCTCGTTCTGTACTTCGCTGCAACTTTGGGTTCTATATTTCTTATGGGCCCTTTTCTTCCTCTGTTATGGTTGCGGCCGTGTTGGTTCCGATGGATCAACGATCGACTGATTGTGTCTTGGTTACTTCTCCCGCCGGTGAGCAAATCAAGTGATTTTTTTCCAACAAATGTTTCTCACCAATTCTTGTCTTGAAAAAAGACTTGATTCCATTCATAATCATCAATCTCGCGTTCGATTTAACTTATAAATAACAACTGTTTTGTTTTTTCTTTCCCATGATCAACATGACCTTGTCTGTTTGTTACGGTAATCTCCGGCGTGTACATGATGATAGGCGCTTCTTGGTAAGTTTTCGGCGTTCTTTGACGGTAGATTTCGATATTGACGATATTATGTAACGATATTGTACATAATCTCATTTATCTGTTGTTAACGACACCCTGTATGAATACACAACACGGAAGAACGCAAGAAATTTGCGTTTTATCGAAAAAAACGTTTTAATTTAATTGACCACGGTGAGTTGGCCACCCGGAGAAGTTTCCAGCATTCATCAGAGCGAATGAAGGAAAATCGAATTTACCTAAAAATGAACTGCATATTTTCATGTAATAATCTGCTATAACTTTGTTACCAAAAATGTACCAGTTACACCATTAACCTTGTGGTATATTGCTTGAACATTACCTTCTTGAGACTCACGCGCAGGATAAAATGAATCACTTATCTTCACTGAAACTCTCTTTTGGTTATCAGATTTTGCGATTAACCTCAGACCGATGTGTCAGGAAAATCAAAATTATTTTTGATAAAATAATGTTAGAACCATAGGAAACTCACTATGCCAAATCCTAATTAGTTTTAAAATTTCTGATTCTTTTGTTTAAATTTACATATTTATTTATTTTATGTTTGTTTATTTCAAGTGATTTACTTACTCAACATTCCTTGACACTAAGATCAAGTTTTCATCGTACCTTCACCAATTAAGTTAAATAATCTCATATTATTAATACAATTTGTTATTATTAGATATTAAGTGGATTTTCATCTGCAAACCTCTGCATGTCGATTGTACGTTTTATTATGTGTTTAATATTTATATTATTTTTTATTTCGTGAAACTCTCGTTTTACTTAATGAAATACCATGCCATAAACTGCTGCTTATAAGCCGCCTCCCTCTCCAGTTATACATGTAGGCCCATCTAGCCGTAAACAAAAAACTATTTGGTACTTAATTTCGCGGGTCTTTAATTTTGTGTTTTTCGCGATTGCTCAAAAAATTATGAAAATAAAGACTCACGAAAATAAATCTGCACAAAATTCAAGAACGTGAAATTAAATACTCATGTAGAAAATTCAAATCACAGAAAAAAAATATTACCTGAAATAGCAACAACACATACCGGATATGAATTAAAAATATAACTTGCTAACTGGTTATTCTGGTAAGCTCGGTTTTGTATCTTCAGTAAGACTGTGAAATAACGTTAATTTGTAAAGCACATTGCTTTTTTCTAGAAATTTGAAGCCTTTCAGACTTTTTTCTTTAATAAAATGAAGTTGGGAATGCTTAAATCGCTAAATTTAATTCCCTTTTCTCATATTTGCATGTTGAAAACTTGAAAATAAAACCCCGTGAAATACTTTCTCACCAAAATTGCAAAATTAAATACCCATGAAATTAAGTACCAATAAGATTCATCCAGTGGAGGTGTGTGTCACCGAGTGATTAACACCTCGAACTCTGGATCTGGAGGTCCAGGGACCAAGCCTTGCCTGTCGCGTTGTTTCCTTAGACAAGGAACTTTACTCCACTTTGTCGCTCTTCACCCAGGTGTATAAATGGGTATTGGCGACATACTGCTGGGGGATAACCCTGCGATGGACTAGCATCCGTCTAGGGGGGAGTAGCAATACTCCTAGTTGCTTCACGCTGATGAAACCGAGATTAGCTGTGGCCGTTTGGGCCTTTGGCTCTTGTGCGCCTTTACCTTTACCTTACATCCAGTTAGAAGCTCATCCAAATATAAGCCCTGCTCTAGCTTGTATTGAAATGAATTTGATTTATCATGATGTTTTGAAGCGTTATTGAAAACCAGTAAATGTAAAATATTGTTTTCAGCACTGCTGTAGCTGGTTTGAAAGCAATTTTCTATTCTGGTTATATGCCGTCTCAAATATCAGCCCAGGGCTTATAAGCAGGGCAGTTCATGGTACTGTGTAAGCAATTTTATTTTTGCAAGTTTAGCATCCATTCCTGCTATACCAGAACTAAGTTAAACTGCCAGGGGGAGGGACTCCCATATAAAAGTGACAGGGATGCACATCAGAAAATTCAAATTAAACTCCTAAGGCAGACTAATGTGGGTGTGGCTCAAGCTTAAACTGACCCCTGTGTGGTCAGTGTTAAGACATTTTGTGTAAATTTCTTTATGTATAGTACTAAGCGATACCTGAATGGGCAAATATAGTGACTTTCCATCCCAAACACCCTAAGTGAGACCAAAATCTGCAATTTACACCCCAGAGTGAGATGACGAGCACCCTGTCACTTTAATATGGGAGTCCCCTCGGGTTAAACTGTTGACCTAGCCCTGGTAACTTGTTCAAATGTCGCGTCGGATAGTGCTTTCAACTGGATAATTCACTATCCGGCAGCTAAGCATTAGGGAAACCAATCATGGTATCCATTGGATAGGGCTTTATCCAGTGGATAGTGTTATCCACCTTTTGAATTACTGGTGCCTGGTATACAAGTGACCAGTGTGGTGGAACTTTGATATAACGAACCTCTATATAATAAAGTCCTCGGTTAAACAAACGATTAAATCTCTACCCCAGTAATAGTAAAACATATGAAAAAGAACCTTGATATAACAAAACCTCGTTATAGCCAACAAGTTTTGCCAGGCCCTTGGCCTTTCGTTATATCAAGGTTCCACTGTACTTGAATACATGTACCGTGCCTGATGCAAAAGCTCTGCTACCAACACTTGGGATTTTATTACATGATTAAACATGTGTGCGTGTTGAAATATTTGGGCAGTGGTTCTGTTCAGACAGAAAAAGCTTCACACAATATTTTTTGTCAAAATAGTGATTTATTATTAAAATATTATTTTAAGTAATGAAAGTAGTGGACCATTCTGAATTGCTCAAGGTCTCTGTTTTAATCTTGAGGGTGATTTAAAAATTGCTGTTGGACTAATTTTAAAATTGACGGTTTTGTAACTCAGAAATGATCTCTTACGTCATTGTTCTATTTTCAGAGATGCTGTTTGGTGTAAAGATTGTAATAACTGGTGACACACCTCCCAAGAGTGAGAATGCCATCATAATTATGAATCACAGGTGCCGTTTGGACTGGATGTTCTATTGGAGTGCAGTGGCGCGCCATGGAGAGCTTAAACATGAAAAGATAATGATGAAGCATGAGCTCAAGTATTCACCAGGTCCAGGTTAGTGTTGCGATGTCTGTAATTCACTTTTAGCCCTTGTCTCAACATGTATAAATGAGGCCCTGCTAGGGTAAATTCCGACAAGCGACATGGCCCAAAAAAGTAGTGACAGCGCATAAAATGAAATCACGACAAGAGACAACCTCCCTCAGTCAAATTGGGACAGTGATGGCAAAGCTGACAATAAGCGACAAGCATTTATAAACACCAACACGATACGTTTTACAATTCAGACGGGCGACATGGGACCCCCTCCCCCCCTGGCAAGGCCTCATAAATTTTTTTCATGACTGTCTCTTATACATTTCTTATGATATGAGTAAAGTGAATATATCCAAAATTAAGAATAATTTATGCTTGGTTGTTGCTTCTTTGTTGCCCAAAATAATTATTATTGTTAAATAGAGGATATTACAAGGCAATGCAGAGATACAAAATTTTTCTTCAAGGGTTTCAAATGTTTTACAAGTGAGCACATTGAACAAGTGGAGTATTTTTCAACAAGAGAAGAGAAATTTCAGATCTTCAAGTGGCCATGCAATGTTTTACTGTATATCAACACCAATGAAATACCAAACCAATCATCTTGATATTTTTTTTTGCTAGGAAAGGTGCGATTTATTATGTAACCATAGCAACAGTGAACTGTTCATGTGTGAAGATAATATGTTTTTTTTACATGTGAAGATATCATTTTTTTGCACAAAAGCTCACCTGGTATTTCATTGGAGTGACATGTTAATCATTGACCTGAATTGCTGTGCCCATTCATTTTGTTTAGTTTTTCCAGTTATTTACTATGAAACTTAATATTACTGATCAGAGGAAATCACCTTCTAAATGACAAAATCACTGCTTCAGAGTAAACAAATATGGCTCCCATTATCATTATCCAATCATTTAAATTTAAAAACAACAGAATCAAACGTTGGAAAATAGAATGAACAGATTTCAAAACTCAATTATTGCAATCAATTTTAATCTTCATTCGTCGGAAAATATTCTGAAGTTTTTAATACTTAGGTAAGTAAAAATCATTTTCATATATCAGACTTTGCACTTACTAGCCCCTTTTTGAAAAAAAAAGATTTTGTATTATTAACATAATTTGATTATTCAAGGGAGGTGATTAATCGAGGGATGGCTATTATTTGAGGAAATACGGTAATTTAGTTTATTATTCTTTAAGGGAATTATTTTCCATAATTGCAGGCTGGGCCATGCAGAATGCTTTGTACATTTTCTTAAAACGTCGCTGGGAGCAGGATGAGAGCTATCTCAACACAGTGCTCAGTTATTTTGTAGATTCATCAGCTTGTTTGCAGCTTCTTCTGTTTCCAGAGGGCACCAACCTTGAAGAAGGCAGCAAAATTAAGAGTGACTCATTCGCGGACAAAAATAACCTTCCATGTTATGATTATGTATTGCATCCTCGTGTCCGTGGATTCACTTATTGCATTGAAAAACTTCGTCAAGGTAGACTAGATGCAATTCATGATGTCACAATTGGCTATTCACAAAACTACTGTTTTCAAGAAATGGACCTACTCAAGGGAAATGTTCCTGATGAAATTCATTTTCATCTTCGACGTTACTCTGACAAGGAGCTTCCTCGAGATACGAAAGGTCTGGAAGCCTGGTGCTGTGAACGTTGGAAAGAAAAGGAAGAAAGACTGAAAAATTTTTACACTAAAAGCAAACAGTTTGGACCCCCTCCAGAGTTGGCTAGCGAGACTGAAATCACTGTTAGATATCTCTTTGTGAAATGCTTAATTTTTTGGGTAGCATTCGCAGTCTGCATTTCACTTCTGCTGTATGCATCTGTGCTTGCTAGATGGTATGTGTTATTCATTGGGGCTACTCAAGTTGTGCTGTCACTTTTTGGAGGAACTGACAAAATATTTTTACAGACACAGAAACCACTTAGCATTAAGGCCAACTGAAGGAATAATTAGAAGTTGCAGCAATTATAGTGGGTGTAATCCATTTGACCTAAATTTCTGAAACTTTCAGTCCAAAATTAGATGGATCATTTGGTACAGCTGGAAAAATTTTGGTTGGATTGGTCTCAGGAAATTTGCCATTCCATTTGACTACAGTAAAACCACGTGACTCAGAACCAGAGTTTTTCCAAGTTAGCCTAAACAGGTTCTTATATAAATTGTAGTTAGCACAAATTAAGGCTGTTTAGGTTCTTTCTTCTTTCTGAAGAAAAAAATACAATATAACTAAGAGTATGAACAATGAAATTTACATTGCAGTTGGGGAGATAAGGAACCTATGTCTCCAAAGAGGATTATGAATGTTGACTTATCTCATTTGCCCAAGTTTACATAATTTTTTCAAAGATTTTAGAAAATAAAAACCTTTTTCAAATTTTTGGCTAAACAGGTTCTTATATAGAGGGGACTGAACTGGCAAATTTTAGCCTAACAGGTTCTTAAAATCCATGTTCTTAGTTGCGGGGTTTTACTGTATTCCCACTTCCCATGTCCAAAACTGACTGGATTAGTTTGATTCAACTGATTCAGGGTGCTAATTTATCCCAGAGAGAAATGAAACAAGATCGCTAATTTTGCATTGCATTTGCCTCTGAAAAATGTCAGAAATTTGACCAGAAATTTTTGTTGAATGGAGTGCACGAAGTGATTGCTGATACAATAATAATAATAATAATAAATTTTTAATGTTTTTTGAATTATGAGTTTTTTGCAAATAACAGAGTATAATTGCTTCTTAGCCCTTAAGACTTACGAGTGATCACCATCTTTCAAGTTGTGAAATAAATTCTTCTCATAAATACTAAAGAAAATGTATGGCAAGGAGTATGGAGAATATGTATAGTGATATCAGTCTTGAAAAGGTCAAGTCATGTGACATGTTGTTTCACTTTTTCAAGTTGTTGTATTTCTGGTGGAATTGACCCTCCAGTAGCCTGAACTCTATCAGTTTCAATATTGACTTCTGGTACTAAGTTTCAAGATTTAGGGGTGGAAACATCTCGAAAGAAAAATTAAAACTTTTGATGTGTTGATGGTGATGAAGGTGCTGGTGATGATGACAGTGATGATGGTGTTGATAGTGATGATGTTAATAGTAATGATGGTGATGATAATAGTGGTGGTGCTGGTGATGATGATAGTGATGATGGTGTTGATAGTGATGATGTTAATAGTAATGATGGTGGTGATAATAGTGGTGGTGCTGGTGATGATGATAGTGATGATGGTGTTGATAGTGATGATGTTAATAGTAATGATGGTGGTGATAATAGTGGTGGTGCTGGTGATGATGACAGTGATGATGGTGTTGATAGTGATGATGTTAATAGTAATGATGGTGGTGATAATAGTGGTGGTGCTGGTGATGATGACAGTGATGATGGTGTTGATAGTGATGATGTTAATAGTAATGATGGTGGTGATAATAGTGGTGGTGCTGGTGATGATGATAGTGATGATGGTGGTGATAGTGATGATGTTAATAGTAATGATGATAGTGATGATGGTGTTGATAGTGATGATGTTAATAGTAATGATGGTGGTGATAATAGTGGTGGTGCTGGTGATGATGACAGTGATGATGGTGTTGATAGTGATGATGTTAATAGTAATGATGGTGGTGATAATAGTGGTGGTGCTGGTGATGATGACAGTGATGATGGTGTTGATAGTGATGATGTTAATAGTAATGATGGTGGTGATAATAGTGGTGGTGCTGGTGATGATGACAGTGATGATGGTGTTGATAGTGATGATGTTAATAGTAATGATGGTGGTGATAATAGTGGTGGTGCTGGTGATGATGATACTGATGATGATAGTGATGATAGTAACGGCAATGATGGTTATGATGATGATGAAGTTGATGCTGATTGTGGTAAAAGTACATGTGGTGGAGATGGCAATGATGGTGGTGATGAAGCTGAGTTGTTTTGGTGATGATGGTAGTGATAATGGTGGTGATGATAGTGGAGATGGTAATGGTAATGATGGTGATGATATTGATGGCAGGTGGTTATGCTGATTGTGGTAAAGGTACATGTAGTGCAGATGATGATGTTGGTGATGATGGTAGTGGTACTATGCTGTGGTAGGAAATGTAGTGAAGATGACAATAATGGCGATGATGAAGGTGGTTTTGGTGATGATGGTGGTTACGGTATGCTATGATGGTGAAAGTAGTGGAGATGATAATGGTGACTAGGGTGGTAACGGTATGCTATGGTGGTGAAATTAGTGGGGTGTTGGTGATGATGACGGGTGTGATGGTATGCTATGGTGGTGATGGTATGCTGTGGTGGTGATGGTGTTTATGATGATGACGGGTGTGATGGTATGCTATGGTAGTGATGGTGTTTATGATGATGATGGTGGTGGTGGTATGCTATGGTAGTGATGGTGTTTATGATGATGACGGGTGTGATGGTATGCTATGGTGGTGATGGTGTTTATGATGATGATGGTGGTGATGGTATGCTGTGGTGGTAAAAGTAGTGGAGATGTCAAAAATGGTGATGATGGTCTTGACAATGACATTGAATAATACAAAATTTCTTACCGTTATTCTTCATTTTATTGTATATTACAACTAAGAATATTGTAAAGAAATTCTGATTAACCAATATTTATTTATTAACAGAATAAGCGTGAAATCAGATTTGTAAACTTAAGATTGTACAGTTCATCTTGTTGATGAAAGTTTGTGTTTGTTACCCTTTAGCAATAAAGTTTACAAACGAAATAAAACATTGAGATTATGAGATTAGCAGAATAGCATCTTAACTCGTTTTCTAGGTGACTGGTACAATGCTTGCTCATTTTTAGAAGTGGGAATTTTTGCCCTTTTCCTAAGAAAGCCCATGCATTTCTGATCAACAAGGTTACATACTGCCAGGAAGATAAAAATACTTAATTTGAACATGGTGCTGATTTGCTCCTTCACTTCATATCATTGGGGATTGTTACAGCCATTAATTGGTAGGTTTTCTCCTTCTTGTTAATGGCTAACAAATCTGGCCTGCTCGCAATCTCGTTCCCAGGGTTCTCTCCTACCGGTCCCTACGGGTAGGAGAGAACCTGGGAACGAGGTTCGCCTGTGTGCTAAATATGGTCTGCATGAAGAATCACTTCAAGACTGTTTACAGTCCCTTTATTGGCTTATTGTCTGCAAGTTCGTCGGGATCGACCACTTGCCATCACAGGCAACTACCGGGGCTTCATATGCGGCGGGTACAAAACGAAGATCACAGGTCACAAGTGCAGGTTAGAGTACAGGTCACCATGCTACGGTAAATAAACAACACTTAAAGTGTTTCCAAGCCCTAATCACAATCCGAAATAGAGTTTTAGCGTAACGGGAAACTGCTTATCTTAGTTATTAATCAATAGAGCAGTGACCTGCACTTCTGACCTGTGACCTGTGGGGACAGGGAGGCGAGGAAAAGAAAATTAAACAAAAAAAAATCTCGGCTCGTCCCAAACCGTCCCCCGCCGCTATAGTAGATTTGATGCTCATCCCCAGCGAGATCGGGCACAGCAACCAACCAAGATGGCCGTCCTTAGGGGTCGGTGCTCGACCCCGACGATCTTACGGAAAAATAGGGGACTGGGAACAGTCTAAATCATTTTCAAGTGTGCTATGGACAAAATGTTACCTTTGGCAGACAATGCGCCCTCTTTATAAAAGAACAAAACTCGCCATTTTCGTTGATTTTTACCGATCATATAATCTTTATTTGGTGGGGTCTAAAAGAAACCACAGAGGCCGAATATTCAGTCCAAATCGCGATGGAGATCAATCGAAGTAAACTTTCAAAGGGAAGAGATAATACAAAAACGTTAATGTTAAGTTAATGGGCCAATAAAGCACTCCATTCAGCCAATGAGCTTCCAGAATTTCGCAAAGCGCACAAAGTTTGATTATTGGTCAGTGTTAATTCATAATTAAAGAGAAACACAAATACATCTTCCTTCATTAGGCTGAGCTAGGCTAACAGAATTCCTTGATCATTTCGCCGTTTAGTTTTGTCGACATTGGTTCCCCGTCTAGTACGTGCCGTGATTATCTCATATATGCTCTTCTATTGACTTCTTTTGTGTTGCCACTCTATTATTGAGAGAAATTTATTGAGGACCTCCCGGCGGAAGGGTTCTTCAATCCCACCAAAATTCTCGCTCAGGGCTCGGGCCCAACGTTCTTTACGGCTTATCCCTATCATAAACGAACGTTTGAAAAAGTATCTTGTAGAGGATCGTACAGACCTAGCGGAAATAATCGGATAGGTAAACTGGCCCGAATGCTTCTGAGTGACGCTTCCTCGTTGCCTACTCATTTCCCTATACCTGTGTTTTAAAAACTGAAACCAAGGTTTTCCTTTCCCAGTTTTAACTGAGCGAGCCAAAACTAAAGCCTCATTCACAAAAACAAAACTCGTTTAATTAACCACGGTTAAAAAAATGAAAATTAGGAGCAGCAAACTGGAAGACTGGCTTTTGCAAAAAATTCAAGTGAGCTTCAAATTGAGACTTTCCGCTTGTGTTGACTTTGTAGTCAACCAAAAATAACAAGTAAGCATGCTACTTTGATGATGCGGGATAATTTTAAACCGTGTTTAACTCAACCGCAGCTTTGAAAACGTGTTTAACAAGCTCCAGTGTGAAACACGCCGGGCGCATTGCATATAAAGTTCTTTCATCGACAAAATACACTAATGTGTAAATCGATAGTGACAAGTTTGTTCTGACCTAATAATTTCAGTCTCAAAACCGGGCTTTTTCTCTCTCAAGGGGAATCAACACTGAATCAACAGCTGCTTCGCACCGGGAGAAGTGAGGCTTTTTCTCTTTGGCTCACACATGAAAAGAAGTAACGACCGCAAATTCTAAAGTAAAGGCGTTGAAAAAAATCCCCTTGTTGTTTTATCTTTTTATTTGTTTAATAGCAGGTGTCTGAGATGGCTTCTAAACTCTCAGTTGCTTTGTTCCTTGCTGGGAGTTCTTGCCCCAGTCATCACCCTTATCATTAAACGTAATCTTAAGCTGTCGTCCAACATGCATACCGTAACGCTAACAGTTCAAATAAGACGTCCCCGTAAAACAAATGCTGTATATTTAGCCAAGCAACCTAGTCATCCCGTGCTCAGTTTAGGCGAGTGTTTTTTATTATACCGAAGAGCAGGTTTTT